CGGAAAACGTCAAACGCAAACGCCAAACGGCAAACGGAAAACGTAAACCGGAAAACGAAATTAGAAAATAACGAACGCAACGCGATCATTAACAAACGAGAGCGGGAGCGAAGAACTTTCGGCGGGGCTCGGAATTCTGGTTCTGATTGGGAACCGGGGTTCTGGTTCTACCTGGCTGTGACTGTGGTTCTACCACCACGATGAGCAGTTGCGTGCCGGTGATCGTGTGGAACGGAGCTCAGTTCACCGCCAGTAGCAGGGAGCTGGAGCAGCTGCGTCGCGACTACGGACTGGATGCCCGAATGCTGGAGGCCACCCTGGTGCCCCGCTACAAGAGACACAAACCGCAGGCGGCGGCCCGTAACGATTTCGTTAGGATCAGCAAGGAGACAGCGGCCAAGACAGTGCCCATCGTCCCAGAGACTGCCTCCGATTGGATTTTGAAGCAGGATCGGAGCACCAACGTCAGCCAGGTGAACTTCCCTCCCTGGGCGGGAGCTCACTTTGATTTGGTGCCCTGGCGTCGTACTCGATCTGCCTTGGATCTCACCTCTGTGGCGGACTACAACCATGGTCTGGTCGATCCCAAGTCCCTCAAGGGTTTGGAAAAGCTTGAGCTAAGACACCAGCGACGGCGTCTGCAACGGGCCAGGACCTCACAGCAGGGATTGAGGCGACTAGTGCGCGTCCGTTTGATCTTCTCCATTGAGCTGCGGCACAAAAGGATGGAGGTCCTGCGGAAAAGTGCCCTGCCCGTGCGGGTCTTTGAGCAGCGGTTCGCTCTCAGCGAGAACGAGAGTGCCGCCTATGAGCGGGTTCTCCTGGATGCCAATGCTGGCGTGGATCAGCACGTGGGCTACTTTAGTCGTCGTCAAATGCAGCAGAAGGATCGTAGGGAGCCTGTCGAGGAGCTAGTTGTGGATTTTGCCAGTGAAACGGAAGCAGAAGGGGAGCATGATCAGGAGCAGGAGGAGGCTCAGTATGCCACAATAGCTGCCACGCCGGAGAAGGGCGACAAGAAGGAGTCGCAGGAAACCGGCCAAGTGCCATGTGTCAAGTGCCGTGATATTGCCATCAAATTGAGGTATTATAATCAGCGATTACCTGTTGATGTTGACAGCAATTCGTATAGCTAAAGACCATATATTTTTTTCTGTGCAAAAGAAATCGACAAACCAAGTTCAAACTCTGCAAAATCAGAACAGAAAAACGGTGCTTAAAAATACACACACGCGCCAAAATCAGTTAACCACAGTGAAGTGTCATTAAATAGAACCCTAATGAGAGAAAAGTGTTAAGGTTAAATGTTTGGGAATACGGGATATATATTCTCTGATATTTCTTTTGTAAATATTCCTTAAAATTATATTTAAACTCTCAGCTCACATTACACCTTTCATGCTAATCAGGCTTGTTCTGATTATTCTGTTAATTAACTAATTATTTTATTGATATATCTTTAGGTGGTTGTGCTAACTCTTGGTTAAAACTCCCAGTCACATGCAAATTTCCCACAAGATGGTTTTAGCTTCCAACTGCCAAGATTTCCCATTAAACCTACAGAGAGACAGGCAGACAGATCTTCTTCAGAGCTTAATTTCTTAAATGATTATTTTCTTCCGTTCTCGGTTCTTTTACTTTTTTGCTTAGCTTTCGCCTCTCTTTCTCCATCTTTTTCCCTTGTTTTCATATTTAAATATTCAGAAACTAATCGATGAATGAAGATGCTTTCAAGAGCAGGTCAATTATAATAAATAAATAAATATTGGCTTAAGTAAACGTAAGGTGAAAGATATGTATTTATATTCAAAATAAATACAGGAATTATTTTGAGATACTTTTGGGACATATTAATTATTTGCATATATATAATACAGTATAGTATATAGTAATAGCAATAATTTATACAAAAAGTAGAGTAAAATTGAGCTACTTTCTGCCCCCAACCACAAAAGATATATCTAAAAAAAATACCTTAAATTCACTTAAAAAATCTTTATATTAAATACCTACATACTTAAAGATATTTAATTATCCTAAAAATTATATCACAAACCAAGGATCAGTCGATGTTTAGACCTCTTAACACCCTTAGCTCTGGCACTCTATAATTTTCTTAACCCCCTTTGCCACTTTTGTTGGCCGAGTGGCCTGCAAGCTGGTTGCCAAATCATTTATTTCACTTTTTTTTTCATTGTTTTTCTGAGCAACAGTTAGTGGGTTTTGTCAGATTTGTTGGTTTTGCTCGCTTTTCGTGGGTTTTCTGTGGGTTTTGTAGCACCTGTTGCCCTGTTTTGTTGACACCTGCTACCACCGGCCCGTTTCCATTTTTCCGTTGATGCAATAAACTGGAAGAAAGTGTCGTCTTCGCGGCTTTCTGTTTCTTTATGGGAAAGCAAACAACGAACAGCGAACAACAATCCACAAACAAACACATATACAACAAGGGGCAGCAACAAATGCCGGGTATTTTTTTCGCATTTTAATGCTCTCTCGGCTTGTAATTAATTTGTTGTCGTGTGTTTAGTATTGTTTTTTGTCAAACATTATCATTAAGCTGGTGATTGTTGCCGCGGAAAACGGCAATCAGGTGAGTCAGCAGCCGCACACTTGACCTGGTTTAGTGATTCGGAAAAGGGCACCCAGTGAACCCAGAGGGAGCTGCACTTGGTACAAAAAGTACATATATCTGTAGACAGATGCAATCAAAATTAATTGCCAGCACTTTCCGCGGCCAATTTATTAAGATTTTAATTACAAGGTGAGCTTAAATGGCTGTCAAGAGGGAACTACTAGGCGTTAGTTCGTAATTATTATACCTTTGCAGGGTATTATACTTTCAGTCAGAAGCTTGAAATTGAGTGAAGGAGTCATTTCCGACCCTATAAATCATATATATTCTTGATCAGCACGAACAGGCGAATCTTTCTAGGCATCAAGGACAGAAAAACAAATTTTGTAAATTTTTTCATAATTTTAGAACAGGTTTTTACATTCTTTACATTTTGAAAAATTGACAAAAATTTTTATATTTTTAATTTAATATTTTGATATGCAGATTTATTAACCTATTTAAAACTAGCACAGAACGGCTTTCCGAATTGAAATTAATGCTTTTTTCGTCTAGTTATGAGTTTTTTAAGCTTTGGGTTATGAAATGATTTCAAACTCCATCCTCTTTTTGTGATTGTAGCAAATAGAAAACGTTTATTTCTATATTTATTTATATTTTTATTTCTATATATTTTTATACCCTTGCAGGGTATTATAATTTCAGTCAGAAGTTTGCAACGCAGTGAAGGAGGCACCTCCGACTATATAAAGTATATATATTCTTGATCAGGATCAACAGCCGAGTCGATCTAGCCATGTCCGTTTGTCCGTCTGTCCGTCTGTCCGTTTCTACGCAAACTAGTCTCTCAGTTTTGAAGCTATCTGAATGAAACTTTGCAGTTAGTCTTCTATATACTCTCACTCGTATATATGTCGGAACGGGCCGGATCGGACGACTATATCATATAGCTGTCATAGGAATGATCGGAAAAGTTTTACAAAAAAAATTATAAAATTTTTAGTTTTCAACAGAATTTGATCAAATTTGAGATATAGCCATTTCATATTATTCTACAATTTTGTGTAAAATTTAATGAAAATCGGACGGCTATATCATATAGCTCCCATAGGAACGATCGAGAAATTAATTCAATTAATAAGTATAACATTTTCAGTTTTCAACAGATTTTCATCAAATTTGAGATATAGCCGTTTCATATTATTCTACAATTTTGTGTAAAATTTTATGAAAATCGGACTAATATATCATATAGCTCCCATAGGAACGATCGAGAAATTTGAGAGGAATGAGAATGGCGGTGGCTGTTGTCGGAAGACTGACAATCGCGGTGGCGATAACATTTTTAGTTTTCAACAGAATTTAATCAAATTTGAAATATAGCCATTTCATATTATTCTAAAATTTTGTGTAAAATTTTATGAAAATCGGATTACTATATCATATAGCTCCCATAGGAACTTTTTTAGTTTTCAGCTGATTTTCATCAAATTTGAGGTATAGCCATTTTATATAAGTCTTAAATTTTGTGGTAAATTTCATAAAAATCGGACGACTATATCACATAGGTGCCATACAAACGATCGTTTGATGTAGAGGAAAAATGCAAATCTGTGAATGTAAAACTGCAAATATAATATGTATAGGTGAATGAAATGAAAGCTGGTATTACTTCATTGTTTTTTAACACAAATATATATAATTTATATTGTATGGATTCCTATTCAAAGAAGTTCTATCTGCAAGGGTATATAAACTTCGGCGTGCCGAAGTTAGCTTCCTTTCTTGTTATATCTATATTTATATAAGTTTCTATACGTAATCTATTTTTATTTGCTTACCTAAACCATAAAATTAATATTTTTTTAAATTTATACTTTTATTTGCCTTACTTTTGTTATAAAAATGCATATTTTAAATGCAAGAAAAGCTCAAATGTCCAGCTTTTTGTGATAACTTCGCTTTCGTTTTTGCACGCACATTGCTTCAGAAATCAAGTTTGTGTCTTAAGTCTTTCGTTTAGCCTGCAGCAAAGTTGACTGCCTTTTGCTTTTTCCAAGACGCTTAAAAGTATGCAACATTTTATATTGAGTCTCCGGTTTCCTCTCAGTCTTGGTTAATTAATTTCTTAAGTTAATGTTTATAATATAGGGACATAACTTTTGTGTGTAATTCAAATAAAATTTAATAATAACATTGATAATTAAATATGACATAAGTTGGTAATGAAGACCTTACATAAAGAATTTTTGACATATTAATTATACAATAATATAACTTACAAGAAAGTAGGGAAACTGAAACGACATTAAACAATGATAATAAGCTCATTTGGTTAAAGTAATGTCTTCTTCAGTATTCTTTTTTTATTTATTTTTATGTCATTTAAAATTAGTTTGATTTTAATGTTTCTCCTCTCTTTTTGCAGAACCATAAATGATTATGCGCTCAGCTCGAATCCTCACCTGAATCACAGCAACAATATCAAATCGAACAATCTGCTTGGCAACAAGATCTTAACGAATAATTCAAACAGCAACCTGAGCAGAATGCACGCCCACCAGCTGGACTCGTACCTGGGCGGCGTGGGCGGAGTGGGAATGATGAACTTGGGTAATCAGATGGGCAACCTGGGCCAGATGCATCATCCGGGGAGCGTTTCCGGCAGCGAAAGACCCAATGGAGGAGCACTGGCTCTGCACTATGCCGCAGCCCGAGGTTGCCTAGACTGTGTCCAACTGCTGGTGGCAGCATCCGTGGATATTTGGTGAGTACAACCTCTGTTACCTGTTATTGGTATCTATAAGATACTTTGTTGGAGCTGAGTTGCACGCAATTTGTTTGATTTTTTTAGAGGGGTGAAAGCTTTTCAGCGGTTCTTTATGTTCATGTGTGTCTTTCTGTGGCCATTATCGATTGAGGGGAAATCGTTCGCCCGATCGATTGCTAGAGTCCACTTTGTGTGTTTTATTATTTCCCCGAGTCGCATTGCATTACCATTCGACGAGTTTCTTTCTTTCCATTTACCTGCATTCATTATCTGCACTCGTCCAGTTTCTATGCCACACTTCTGGATGAATAATAAGTGTATTACTTTGTGTCTTTCTATGTCAATTGTATTAATTGTATTAATTGTAAATGCTATTATATAGAGGATATTCATAGGTGAAACAGTACAACATTTTGAGTGTACCAAATCTGAGGTAACGATCTGATTATCATAAATCGAATCAATCAAAGCCCAACACACCGCAAAGACGTTGATTGCTGGCATCAGTTAATTAAATGCACTAATTAAAGCCTATTAGCTCATCCAACAAAGTAGAAAGAACCAAAGAGAGTCTTGGAAAAATCAAAGAAGGCCTAGGAAAAACTCGCAACTTGCAACTCCAAGTGGGCCAGCGATCCATGGACTCACCTAAATTCCTGCAGCATCGGCTGCAGCACGCGTCCAAAGCTGATTCATTTAATTGTGGCAGAATGGGAATCCGAATGCCCGGCCAAGGCAAGCCAGCCAAGCGAGATGCTACCGCAGATCGCAACCCAACCAACAAGATCCGAGTCCAAGTCCAAGTCCCAGTCCATATCCATATCCATGTCCATGTCCAAGTCCGAGTCCATGGTGTGCTATTTTCAATTGAAGTCAAACTGGAAAACTGGCAGCGCCACAAAGCACCGTTGCAACGAGTTTCCCCCCATTCGAGCCGAAGTGGAGCAACTTCGGACTGGCCAAGGAATCAGAATCAGAATCAGAATCGGCCTCGGAATCAATGCCACAACCGCCTGACTCTCCCCCCAGAGGCCACTCCAACTCTCGATCTCCCGGCCTGAAATTCATATTTATAAAGCGCCAAGGCAGATCAATTGACATGACAGCTGACACGGCGACACAGAAAGCAACAAGAGTGAGAGCGAGGGCAGCTTTAGGTTATAATCTAGTTAAATTTAAAAAAAGGAAGTATAAATACTAGAATCCAATTTGAAAATTCAGATAATTAGTAGTCTTAAATTTGTTGTTTCATGAACATTACATTTAAAATGTGTCTGATTTACTTAGAATGAGATGATTATCAGCTGCATATGTATGAAAAAAATCTTGAAGCATATCTTAGAAGAATCTAATCCGAATATTTAATTTTAAATATAAGACCATGAATTTTAAGCACATTAGCTTTATTTAGTTTTATATATAAACATTTCAATCTAAGTTTAAAGTTTCAGTCTAGTTGTTTGAGAACCTTACAGTCCAACCTCGTCGCAAACCGTTTGATAATTTAGCCAGCAAAGACACCTCAATGGACGAAGCTGCTGCTTCTTGTGTTTGTACTACCAAAGAAAACGTGGGTAGTTTAAGGAGTACTTCTTATTTTTATAATGTCACTTATAAAGGATTTCTTGAGTACAGTAATCACTCCGTATACTGAGTGGTTAGAAACAGCTTATCTTTTATAATACAATAAATAAGTAAATAATTTTTAGGCACACATTTTTGAACTATCTAGTTTTTTGAGTGATATAATCACTTCATTTACTGAGTGGTTTCCTTGAATAAAGTAATATTTCTCCATTATATGTTTAGATTTCAATATATTTTCAAAGCAATTTAAGAATTTTCTCAAAGACTTTTAAGGATTTAAAAATTTGTCTTAGGATTTGTTATATTTAATATATATGCATATGTATATATTATGTATACGTATATATTATTTAAGCGTAAGCTGTTACTATCTATTATCTTAGGGAAGGCCTAAAAAAAGCTAAAAGTAAGAAATCCAGTTAAAATATCCTGAAAAGGGTCTAAATTTAGTAGAATTATTACTAATTGCTATCATTTTGGTGGCTTTAGGAACCCGTATCAATTTCTGTTTCTCCACCAACCTATCAAGCCGCCCTCGTCGTTGGCCATTTGATAATATTGCGTACGGCGACAGCTCGAGCTGGTTTGCCAGCCATCTCCACCTCCCCCTACTCCACCTTCTGCTCCTCCGCTGTCTCCTCTTCCTCCTTCTTCAGCTGGAGAAGAAGCCAAAGCGGGAGCTGCCGAAGAGGAAGCAGTGTGGCGGCCACTCGATGGCGTTTGGCGTTGGTCCGCAGCGTTAGACGCTCGGTGGCGCTGGCTATTCGCGTTTGGCTGGTCGAGGCGAACGGTGCTTTCGTTCGTGGGCTTCGTCTGTCTCTTGTGGACACGGATATACATACATATGTGCAGATACTATATTCATATATACACAAGTATATAGTTATAGTTATAGTTCGTGTTAAAGTTGTTACCGTTTACCAGCAACCGTTACGAGCAGCAGTAGCGGCCATAGAATGAATTTAAATTTGAATTCGGTATTCAATGCTGGACTCTGTGCGGTTTCGTTTCGAATTAAACGCTGATGCATCAGATTGCCCCGCCCCCGCGGGCAGCAGCAGCAGCAACAGCAGCAGCAACGGACAACACCAACTAAATTTCGCGCTTCACAGTATTTCAAATGCAGTTAACGAATCGGAACGCGAATTAATTAACAGTTTCAGTAAACCAAAGAACCAGCAACACCCCACAAACAGTAGCCACAACATCTGGCTTAATGCCCAAGCCAGCAGCAACAGCAGCAGCAGCAGCAGCAACATCTGCAGCTGCAGCAGCAGCGGCAGCAACATCTGCAGCAGCAGCAGCCGCAGCAGCAGCAGCAACTCATCCAGTAACCGCAACCATGAAAAGGTAGCCACAGCTGCTTTTGGCCAACACTCAGTTGCCACTAATCGATTGGCCAAGGCAGCCACCACATGCCCCCAAAGGATGTTAACCGTCTTTTTTCGAGTGTCTATTGTGTGTGTGTTTGAGTGCGTCATATTAAAAGTACAAAAAGTAGCCCATGAAAACCATGAAAGTGCACACAAAAATACAGTGAGTGCGTTGTGCTTGGTTCAAATATGCAAAACCTATGAGTGTTACCCAAAATATAACACAAAATTGTGAATTCAAGTTAAAAGTGAAAAAAAAAACTAATGAAACTTATTTGGTTACAAAGATACCCTAAAGTTTGGCTTACCTATAGAGATCCCAAAGAGTGTCTTTCAGTTTGAAGGAACAAAAGGACCAGAAAAAGCCAGCGGAGAAAATAACTATCGAAACCCCCTTCAAATAAATTAATTATATTAAAATTATTACAGTTATGGGAATATATATGAGACAAAGTCTTAAACTTACAAATTAAAGGAATAATAGGGCAGAGATTATGGAACTTCCGAATCAATAGCATTTATCGAGGAAAAGTATTTGTTTAAATGTATCAACAAGGACAGGCTTTAGATAGTAGATTTATATTTTATTTACATTAGTTAGTAGTTGTTCTAAAGAATATATGCTTTTATCTATATATACAGATATATATTTAATTCTTAAAGAGTGATATAGTAATTCAAATTGGTACAAAGTTCTCTGAACTTTCCATTAAAACTGACCAAGCGAACTCATTACAATCAAGCCATATATATAGAATATAACCCCTTGGAGAAATCCATAGCAGACTGGATAATCGCTTAAGAACTTCCCACATAGTATAATAACGTTTTCTAATTATCAAAGTATCTCTTTGTATCTATATCTGTATCTGTATCTTCATCTCCCTGGGGTCCATTTGTGTCACTCGCATGGCTTTCATTCTGCATTCTCTCAGCGACGGACAATCGTCGATTGGTAGATTGTAGTTGGTAGATGGCTGATTGTTGATGGCTGATCGTCAATCAGCGATCGGTCTGAGGCTCAAGCACGCAAATGCACAATTAAATAAACGAGTCTATAACTGTCAACTGGCATTTCTAACGAGGCTTCTCCTTCGTCCAATTACTCCCCAATTATGCCGCCTTTCGTTCGGTTCGCTTTTTAATTCCATTTTCTGCCTGGCCCCAGACACATTAAATAAATTAAAAAATAATTATTATAGACTATAGAGCATAGAGAGAAGAAGTGAGGCTAAATTGGGAATATATATATATAGATATACATATATATCTTTCTTACCGTATTTTCACCTACAAAAGAAGACACAGAAACAAAAACAAAAACAAAAAAACAGCGATAAAGATGAAAAATCAACTTTAATTGGTTTACAATTCATTTCTAAGCGAGAAAAGCTGGAAAATGTAACAAGTAGTCCGAAGTCGGACGAAGAAAGCCACTCCACAGACGCTGTGTGCGATGTGCGATGTGCTGTGTGCAATATCCATGAAGTCGTAAGCCAGTTGACTAAGTGAACAGATACTAGTATCCGTACCATAGCCACAGCCACAACTACAGCCATGGCCATCATCATCATCACCATCATGACGCCTTCGCCTCCGATCTGCCTTGGAATCTGGCGGAAAATCTGGAGGCGAAAGCACCGTGGAACGTGACTGAGAGGGTTTACCCTTTAGGAGAATTTCTGACTTGAAAGATATAGTTATTGGGAGTATTTATTATTACAAAAATAGTAATACATTTATATTAAAACTAAACTAAACTAAACTTAAACAAAAACAGAGATCTCAAAATCCAAATTGTCTCAAATTATCTCCAATCCGCTATAGTTTTAACAAAGATTAAATATAAAACTAAGGAGACACTTACTGCTCTAACTAAAGTCTTTCCTGACTCTCCTCCCAAACCAATTTTGGCCAATGAAGAGCTTGACCAACTGCATCACACTGCTGCTGTTGGCCTATAATTTTGGCCAGACAGTTTGTGGCAATATCTAAATTGCCATGATCAGTGGCCATAATTCTACCGTTGCTGAAAAAGAGGTCCATATACACAGACAGAAACACACCCACTCTTGCCCCACTGTTCCAGGTGGAAAGCCAGCAGCACCTGTAATGCGAGCAACACCATGGAATAGTGGCAATTGTAACACAGATACAGTGAGAGAAAATTATAGTACCTACTAGGAGATGTATTTCTTAGGAAATATATATTACATAAAGAACTTTTCTATAAACTTATCTATAGATAGATTTTTTCATAACCATTTGGTAAGATTTCTTCAAAATATAATTTTCAATACCCAAAAAATCAAGCCAAAAATATAGTAAATATATAAAATAGATATTTATGTATATATTTTTATTGAATATTTGAATAATACATAGAAAAAGTACCCAAAAACTTAGGAAAAAGCTTTCTTTTGGTTACTATCTGTATTTTTTGCAGTGTAGATTTTTAGCTGGGAGTCAGGCGTAACTTACATAGAGAAACGTTTGGCAGTCGCCCGGTCTCGTGCAGTTTTTGTTTCGCTTTTAAGCGTTAATTTCACCAAAAAAACTAAATAATATAACAAAAACAACAAACAGAAAGTACAAGATATGTATAAGAAATTATAATGTATATAAAAGAAGCAGACTGGAGTTTTGCTAGAAGTTTGTCGAGCAGATCGAGCATCGAGGCTTTAATCACAGCCCAGCCACTTGGGCAGACGGACGGAGAGCTGTCTGTCAATATAGAGTGATATAGCTTTTTTACGGCCCTGGGGATGTTCCAAAGACTTTCGATTTCCTACTGATATATTATGATCCATGGAGGAGAGATACACAGACACAAACTCGATATGCAAATCAAGGCACCAAGAAACCGAAACGGGCCGCTATTTTATGTTGGTGATTTTTCCTAAACCAGTTCCATAATTTCGAGCTCTATTTTTATGTGTACGCTCAGTTTTTTTACGTATGCTTAACGGTACTAGGAAAATCAAAGATATATATACAACAACACACAAACCGGACAATAAACCAAGTGACAAACGAAAGTGAAAAGCCAAAGCACGGGAAAAGATCTCTGAAGTGAACTTGAGTGAAATTTCCAAACGATTTTCGATACAGTTTTTTAGTGAACCGAACGGTAAGCCAAGGCGAATAAATTAAATCGAGTTAATATCGAACCTGCAAAAAAATTCCAAGCCAACACAAGCACCAAGCACTGCCACCGAATCCCTGAAGACAATATATATAAATAAAAGGATAATGTTTAAACACTAAAAACCCACTGCAAGTCAGAAATTCAAACCGACTTTGGATATTTGTATTGAAACCTCTTGAAGGGGAAACCCCCCGTTTGAAAGCCCCTTGAAAAGGTTTCAATATTCCTCCAAGCCAGGCACACTCAAACACACATCCCCACCTGGCAAATCAGATTTCCTCCCCAACCTGAACCATGCCACATGCCATCACCTGCCACACCATATCTTCCTCCGGCAGCTACTTCTCCACGATCAACGTTAAGAAGGGCCTGCTGGGCCGGATGACCACAAGCCTCACCTCCTACCGTCGCAGCAAGCAAAAGTCCAAATCGAACAATGACATCCACACCATCATCGCCACGGAAGTAACCGCGGCCATACTCAGCACCAGCGTTCACAGCAGCGGTTCCGAGGATATCGAGGAGAGTCACACGCAGATCGAGGATCAAGCCAGAACGTCGCCGGATTGCGACCCGGAGGAGACACGTAGAGGACACAGTGAGCAGGAACCGAAAGGAGTTGAGGATCAAAGGATGGAGTCGCAACATCATCATCCACATCATTCACAACGCAAGTCCGCGGTGGAGGTTGTGCGTCAGCACCAGCAAATGGACGAGGACGAGGATCCCGAGTCCAATGAGGACGACGAGGCCACGCCCATGATGAGCGGCGTGGGGCGGAAGGAGCAGAACAATCGTCGCAGTGTTGTGAGGTGCGAGGGGGAAATAGTATTCATATCTATCTATTGGATACGTTTTTTTAGGGTTGTTAAGTATTACCTTTGAACAAAGATAAATTAAAAATTGAAGGGTTGAAAATGACTCAAAGAATAAGAAATCAAGCCACTTTTAATATAACTTTATTTATTTTTATTTTTTCAACTAGCAACATGACAGAAAGGCATGTCAACTATCAGAAATATACATATTCCAAATTATGAAATCAAAAGCTTAGTTTTGCGTCAAAATTAACAAAAACCTTTCGAATCCAGTCTAATTTGGGAATCTAACCATATTATTTTGCTTATGATTCCTCTGGTATTAAATGAAATAAATTATTAATAATCATCTCCAGCATTTTCTTAACCAATTCCAATCTATAAGTTTATTATCCAACAGGGGTATAATCCTTTTAACAATATATCAAAAGATAGGCTTTAAAAGCTGTGAAAAGGTTTTCCCACACACACATACAGCTCCCCTTCTCTTTGTAATCGATCGATCAATGATATTCTTCACATAAATAACAAAAAAAGAGAGGAAAAACTGGAAAATATAGAGACTTTCCAGTGACCCAAACACTTCTTTGCAATCGCTAATGACTCTCGGAATTAAACTTCTTGCAACACAATTTGCCAACTACATATTTTTGGCAGGCTCACAAATTCGCGCAACTCCAATGCTCATTTAACGATCTTTTTATTTATCGCTAACAACTAATTGAATGTTTTTTGCCTTTCTGTTTTTCCGCTTTTCTGCCTTTTCCGCTCCCCGACGGATTGCAGCGCCAATACGCAAATGGACAACGATGTCACGCCCGTCTACCTGGCGGCGCAGGAGGGCCACTTGGAGGTGCTCAAGTTTCTGGTGCTCGAGGCCGGCGGTTCGCTCTATGTTCGCGCACGCGACGGCATGGCACCGATCCATGCCGCTTCACAAATGGGCTGCTTGGATTGCCTCAAATGGATGGTGAGTGCCCAAGTAGTAGTAGTCGATGCTCTGCATCCATGTTGCTCCACAAAAAAATTCGCTTTTCGACCAAAATCTTCTGGCTCTGGTGCAGGCAATGCAGGTCAATTGCCAGATCAAGATGCAGTGGGGAAAATTCTAAAGACTTAGGAAAATGTATGTATTTAAATCTTAGCTTGACTTTTTTTGTGGGTTAAAAGAGCTTCTGGCAGGCGTGAAATATATTTAGGCTTTAAATCTAAGCCTTGACTTTAGTCACAGCAAACACAGGAAGCTGTCTTAAAAGACAGACAGCCATAATGTTTAGGATCTGTTCAGTTAATGTGCGAATTAATGAGGATTTTCTTGGCTTTTTAATAGTATATTAAATATATAGATTTATGACTCTTAGATACATAAAAATATGATTTCAAAGATCATATTAAATGTTTTATTTTAGGTTCAAGCTCAGTTGAAACAGTTTTTTAAAACATAAACGACTTGTTTTGGAAACTCAGAAAATATATCTTAATGTCTTATTAAATCCTCTTACATGTAAATATCTAGCAAAACTAACATAAAGTCTTAATGGTATAGTTATTTTCCTTAGTGTAGAATCGAACTTGTTTCTTATTTTTGTTTATGTTTTTTTTCTTAGAGACTTCTGGGGTCTTTGGGGTCCTGTTTCGGTGATTTTAACGGGGTTCCTCGGTCTTTTTCGACCAGTTTGTGGCCGGTTCCGGACAATTTATCAATTGGGGAATGCGTCTGATGCTGAGAGAGGGAAGGGGATCGCAGGAGGAGGCCGAAAGTGGTCACATGCAAAGCGAACTCCAGTGCACCTGGAAGCAGCCAGCAGCACCTCTGCGCTAACAATGGCTGGAGCAGCAGAATTTTCTGCAGCTTTTTTTTTTGTTGTATTCAAGATCATCGCCAGAGGCGCGTTGGCAGTTGGAAATCACCTTTCTAAATTGAACTAAATAGTTTTCATTTGCGACGGCCAACCACTTTCCACCGAGTAGTAGTATCTGTGAGATACTCGGCCGCAGAGAGACGTGGTAACACCAGGAGCCGAACCGACGACAGCGGCGAGCAATGGATTCATCTGTCGGAGGCTTCAACAGCTCTTCGCCGGGACAGAGACGTGAAAAATCAGCCAAAGTATTCGCGTTTTCAGATTGATTGACCGTAACGGACGGCTGCCGCAGATAGCTAACATATTTGGGCTATTTAAACAAACTGACTGAAGTGGCACTAAACGATCGGGGGTATATAAACAGGCACCGGTGGTTGGTCAGTTAGCTGGGAAAACTTTGTAATATTACGAGCAATTTGTTGTTCAAGCCAATGGGTAATAGGTGTTTATGGATTATTAAAAGCTGTTAATACTTGAAACTTTATAGATTGGTTGAGGAGGATAAGCGACTAACGAGGGTTAAGTGTGAGAGATTTGTAAGCCATATAAAGGATTAATCGAGAAGTTTACAGAAATAGTAATAATGTTGCTTAGAATCTAGGGTACATAAGTATTTTTTACTTCAATATTGACTTATTACCCATATTCTTTTAGAATTTTTTATGTTATCCTGCTGGGTATTGTTCTTTTAGTCAAAAGCTTGAAACACAGTAATAAATCATTTACGACCCTATAAATCATATATATTATTGATCAGCATTAACAGCCGAATCGATCTAGCTAACTTAGGATGATTAAAAATTATTATAATTTTTTCCGAAATTTTTAAGGGGTTACATCGTTAAAATTGAAAAAAAAAGCAATAAAATTTTTTTTTTTTTCTCTTCATATTGAGTATGCAGATTTATAAAGGTACAAAAAAATAACATAGGACCGTTTTCCGATTTGAAATTAGTGCTTTTTTGGCCTAGTTGTGACATTTTTAAACGTTGATTAGTCAATAAAAATGGTCATATAAAATTATTGATAAATATCGACTTATAATTTTAGTCAAAAGCTGGAAACTCAGTGAAGGAATCTTTTGCGACCCTATAAATCATATATATTATTGATCAGCATCAACAGCCGAATCGATCTAGCTAACTTAGGATGATTAAAAATGATTATAATTTTTTCCGATATTTTTAAGGGGTTACATCGTTAAAATTGAAAAAAAAAATGCAACTAAAAATTTATTTTTTTTTCTCTTCAAATTGAGTATGCAGATTTATAAAGGTACAAAAAAATAACATAGGACCGTTTTCCGATTTAAAATTAGTGCTTTTTTGGCCTAGTTGTGACATTTTTAAACGTTGATTAGTCAATAAAAATGGTCATATAAAATTATTGATAAATATCGACTTATAATTTTAGTCAAAAGCTGGAAACTCAGTGAAGGAATCTTTTGCGACCCTATAAACCATATATATTATTGATCAGCATCAACAGCCGAATCGATCTAGCTAACTTAGGATGATTAAAAATGATTATAATTTTTTCCGATATTTTTAAGGGGTTAAAATTGACAAAAAAAAATGCAACAAAAAATTAATTTTTTTTCCTCTTCATATTGAGTATGCAGATTTATAAAGGTACAAAAAAATAACATAGGACCGTTTTCCGATTTGAAATTAGTGCTTTTTTGGCCTAGTTGTGACATTTTTAAACGTTGATTAGTCAATAAAAATGGTCATATAAAATTATTGATAAATATCGACTTATAATTTTAGTCAAAAGCTGGAAACTCAGTGAAGGAATCTTTTGCGACCCTATAAACCATATATATTATTGATCAGCATCAACAGCCGAATCGATCTAGCTAACTTAGGATGATTAAAAATGATTATAATTTTTTCCGATATTTTTAAGGGGTTACATCGTTAAAATTAAAAAAAAAAAAATCAACAGAAAATTAATTTTTTTTCCTCTTCAAATTGAGTATGCATATTTATAAAGGTACAAAAAAATAACATAGGACCGTTTTCCGATTTAAAATTAGTGCTTTTTTGGCCTAGTTGTGACATTTTTAAACGTTGATTAGTCAATAAAAATGGTCATATAAAATTATTGATAAATATCGACTTATAATTTTAGTCGAAAGCTTGAAACTCAGTGAAGGAATCTTTTGCGACCCTATAAATCATATATATTATTAATCAGCATCAACAGCCGAATCGATCTAGCTAACTTGGGATGATTAAAAATTATTATAATTTTTTCGATATTTTTAGGGGGTAACATCGTTAAAATTGAAAAAAAAATGCAACAAAAAATTATTTTTTTTCCTCTTCAAATTGAGTATGCAGATTTATAAAGGTAAAAAAAAATAACATGGGACCGTTTTCCAATTTAAAATTAATGCTCTTTTGTCTGAGTTATGTGATTTTTAAACTTTAATTGTCGAAAAATTGTCTTATAAAAATATCTGTTATTTACCGATTCGAAGAAAGCTAATATTTCCGATTAGATCCGAGTCCGGGTAGATCCTATCATTCAATTTCAAACTGCAACGGTATATAACCCACGGCTTCTCTAAGATAGTTTCCTTTCCGGTTAAAATAAGTACTTCTTTTAGTCTTCAATTACCTTAATTTGTCACTTTTTTATCCCTTAAAAGGTTCAAGACCAAGGCGTAGATCCCAATTTGCGAGATGGCGACGGTGCCACGCCCCTGCACTTTGCTGCCTCCCGGGGCCATCTTTCTGTAGTCCGTTGGCTCCTCAATCACGGAGCCAAATTGTCTCTGGATAAATATGGCAAGTCGCCCATTAATGATGCAGCCGAAAATCAACAGGTTGAGGTAAGTTTTAGCTACTATATATATTTCAGAAGATCCCTTTATGTAATGGAACCCATTTTTACTCGACAGTGCCTAAATGTTCTGGTGCAACATGGCACCTCAGTGGACTACAACGGCAAAAGCAGCTCGCAACGCCACAAGTCGCAGCAGCAACTGCATCAGCACCACCAGCAGCAGCATCAACATTCGCAACAGCAACAGCACATGAGCAGCAGCTGCAATTCGAACTCAAACTCGTCAAAGCAGACAAGTCGCAGCAACACAATCAAGTCCAAGTCCTCGTCCACTCTGAGCTCCGATGTCGAACCCTTCTATCTGCATCCACCGGCCATAAATGGCGGAGCCGGAGCAGGTTCGGGAATGGGAATCGGTATGGCCATGAGCATGGGTATGGGCATGGGCATTTCTAGGAAGAACAGCGATGCCCTGTACTCGCAGCAGTCGCGCAGCTCCTCGGAGAAGCTGTACAACGGATCCTCTTCTCTGGGTGGCAATCCGGGTAACAATAGCTCCTCTGGAGGCGGTGGTGGAGGAGGAGGAGGAGCCTTGCTGCCCAACGATGGGCTGTATGTTAATCCCATGCGTAATGGCGGCATGTACAACACGCCCTCGCCCAATGGCAGCATCTCCGGGGAATCTTTCTTCCTGCACGACCCGCAGGACATCATATACAACCGGGTGCGTGATCTATTCGTGGACTCTGACTGCAGCAGCAGCGTAAAGCAGCACGGCAAACTGATGCAGGCGAAGGCAGGCAACGCCATGACTATCCAAGCGGATGTCCACTCCAGCTCCAGCGGTGCCGGCAGCGGCTCTGACGAATCCGTCTCCATCTCGTCCAGTTTCCATTCCCCGAAGCAGCAGCAGTCCCATGGCCACCAACAGTTGCGCAGCCAGAGCTTCCATCGTCACGGCAGCAGCAGCAACATTAGCAATCTTGGCAATGCCAAGGTCAACAATTACAAGGCGCACAAGGGCCTGGGAATGGAAGTCGGTATGGGTATCGGTGGTCCTGGCAGTCAGAACGGCGGTGGCGACCATGACTACGAGGATATCTATCTGGTTCGTGAGGAGTCACGCAAGCAGCATCAGCACCAGCACTTGCAACAGCAACAGCAGCAGCAGTTGCAACATTTGCAACAGCAGCAACACCAGGCCAACCAGCAGCAACAACAACAGCAGCAGCAGCATAAATACAATGTGGGACGTTCGAGGTCCCGGGATAGTGGCTCCCACTCTCGCTCCGCCAGTGCGAGTTCCACCAGAAGCACGGATATAGTGCTGCAGTACAGCAACCATGTGAGGCACCTCAATAACTCTTTTCCTGAACCATAACACAATTCCTTCTTGTTTCTCCCTTTCAGCACTTGAACAACAAACGCAATATCAACAACAACAGCACCAATAATATTGCCAATAACAACAGCAATAATAATAATAACAATAACAACAACAACAACAGCCAGCTAAATCGCAATAAATCACATTCGATCATTGGCCTGCACAGCAGCAAGTATGAATCCTCGCTGAAGGACAACTACAGTGCAAAGAACGTGAATCTAAAGAATCAGCTGCTGAACGGTGGCATCAAGAGCGATACCTACGAGAGCGTCTGTCCACCGGAGGATGTGGCCGAGCGAACCAAGCAAACGCACAAGAACTCCATGATCCGCAATAATCTGGCCGAGGCCTCGGCCAACAGCAACTCCAACTCGAACTCCAACTTGAGCAACATGAACGGTGGCGGTGGCAACCAAAATGGGAGGATACTCAAGCGCGTCTCCTCGGCACCGCCCATGCAGAATGTGGCTATTGGTGAGTAGAATCTTCAAGTTCTTTCAATACCCGTCTAATCCAACTTCTGATTCCCCTTTAGTTAATGGACCACCGCCACCGCCCTTGCCGCCACCGCTTCGGGCTCCCCAAATTCAACAGCGCAATAGTTCCACTTCCGAGCAAACGAACAATAATAACAATATCAGCAGCAGCAACAATGGCATCTACAAGAAGAATGCATTCGGACCAAATCAGTCCCCTCCAGCCGGAGCTCCGCCCCAGGTTCCAGCTCCAAATCCCACATCCACTGGCAGTGATGCCGTCGACTCGGACTCAGGGCTCGAGGTGATCGAAGAGCCAAGCCTGCGACCCTCAGAGCTAGTGCGAGGCAATCACAATCGCACCATGTCCACCATATCGGGTAAGTAACAAAATCTAGAATTAGATCTCACCCGGCCAAGTTTGCCTGGAAAAATATGTATGTCAGCTTCTCAGTTTAAGGTCATATTTCAAGCCTATCTCTCGTTGCCATACAATAGTTTCAAAATTTTTCCGAAAGCTTCAAACTATTTTAGCCAAAATTGGTCTGAGGTGGAGTCGGCTAAAGGGTTGGGTAGGGGGCTGTGCGATGAACAGTGACAATGGTAGCCCAGAGTGCAGTTCTTCCTCCTCCGAGGAGGAGGAGGCCGCTCCCCAATGGTCGGATCCCTCCGAGGGCAGTCCGGGCAGGAGCTCCGATATGGATACTTGCAGCTGCGAGACCTGCAGCAAGGAATCTAGTCCGGGACTAATGGGAACCACATCCACTGATGAATTAGAGATGGGGCCACAGGAGCAGTACAGAAAGAACACTTGCATCATTTATAGTCCCGGGAATCCCACGCTCGTTCTCGACTCCACCGATCTGGAGACGTTGAGCGACCGGGACTGTAAGATCTTGCAACATCATCTTTCTGGCGTAAAGGTGGTGGGCTCAATGAGTCCACTATGGCCAGATCCTTCCATTCTCATTCAAGGAATGACTGTCAGGCCTACGCCCAGTGCCTCCCGGGCAAAGTTCCAACAAAATTTCATATCTCCGTCTGTGAATGTTTCCTGGAAGGGCTCCGGATGCCGCCAGTGCCCCAAGTAGCTGTTAAAGCGAAGTACAACGTAATAGTTAAAATTCAATTAGTGTCCAAACATGGAGGTCTTTCACCTCTCCACCGGGGGTTCCGCATCAACGTTACCATCATCATCATCAACATCAACATCATCATCATCCTCATCCTCGCTGATCGTCGTCAGTGGCTTGTGACTTGATTGATCAATTGGGGGGAGGGAAATTCGCCAGTCATGGCCATGGAAATGCCCTGCAGAGTTGGAAAAGTGGCAAACCTGATCGGCTGCTGCCTCCGAGGTGCTGCCTCTAATGGTTAGCCTGATGGGAACATCTTGATTGCCAGTCCATGGATGTTGGATAATCGATACGTTGACGGCCGTTGCACAATTTATTTATTTACTTATTTGTTTGATATCTTACATATTATTTAGCAAATGCAAGTTCTTTGGCCACCGATTATATAGATTTGTTTCGGGGGTGTTACCAATTATATTTTGCCCAGGAAAACGGCTGTTTAGCCGCTTGACTAATTATTAATTATTATGAAGCTTAAATAGCCGGCTTCCTAGCCAATTTGGAGGCCTTGCCGAAGACAATACCCCATCATTATCACACTATAAGTATCGGGATCCGACTTAATTGCCGCAATTGCAGTCGTAACTACCGAAAAAAAAATACAACCGAAGAAAAATGCGAATGATAGCTGCCATGTTTGACATGTGTTTGGCTCCGATTTTTCATTTGTTAATTGACCATTATGGAAGAGAAAGGGGGAGGAGGAACAGTAGGAGCTTGGAGTAGCTCGGCGGAGAGGTTTTAATTGAGCCAACGTTCACACGATAAGGCGGCAAAGATCCGTGGAAAAAGCAGCGAAAACAAAGAAGTGGAAGTCGATTCAGTTGGAAAAGTGGAAGTGCCAGCGATGAAGCGAAGAAAATAATCCCAGCCACTTGACTGCCGTATAAGTCATAAGGTGCACTTGGGAAAATCTTAGACTAGGTTGGGAAATTATAAATATTTTTTTAGGGGGGAGATTAGGATTATAGAAAGTTCAAATCAGAGTCAATTTTAAAGGATAAAACGTTGACTAATATTTCTGTATCCTACAGTTGGGTTTAAAGTTATTTAACTATTGCTATCAATCTATTTGTTTTTATTAATCTTTTTAACCTACTTTGTAGTCTTATTCAAGACTCAAGATCACTCACAGTTCGTTCGTCAGAGAAGGTTAATCTAGGTTGTTTTGGTTCCTGCTCTTCCATATAGTTTTCTTTTTGTAAATCCTTAAGTATTTGTTTGATTTTTGTAAAACCTATAGGAATATTTTCCCCAGTGTCTGATCAATGATCTATGGGCCACGACGACAACATCATTGTCAATCGTCTTGGTTGGGTTAGAGGGTAGGCCTTCCCTCGTAAATAGTTACATACATGATCCATAACCCGAACCGCGATGAGGAAGCAATTTCCCAACAAGTCTCTGCCATAATTGTGTGTGTCCCACACAATTGGCAAGCCACCCACATCCACCTATCCACATTTACTTGCACCACCGCCACAACTCCTCCGCCTCCACCTCCTCCTCCTGGCAATCGTGGCTCGTGGATCTGCGAAAGTTTTTACCAACGAAAGTGAACGTGTTTTTGCGAAGTGGCCATCGCGGTGCCGCCGTCTTGGGTGAATAACTTTGTCGATGGCTTGAACTCACTTCAGGCTGCCAGCGACGCTCGCAGAGGCAACATCGTCAACTCCAATTCCATTTCCAACTCCAATTCGGAACCGCGTTGTCCTCAAGTTTTCCGGTCATCCTTTTTACCCAACTCCTGAGAATGTGACTTGTGCTTGAATTTTATTTACATATACTATATAGATCTCATTGCATCGAACAATATGAACATGCTGGGCTCTGTGAAAATCCACAAGAATTCTCGGCGAAATTACTTCACTCTCAGCTTTCAACGTTTCGATATCTTTCGGTGTAAGTGGCTTAATGTGATTTGGTTGAATTTAATCAACAGAAACTGGACACCAAGAGAGTTAAATTCATAATCAAAAATCAATTATAAAGCAAGTGTTGTACAGCTTTTAGTGATTCTATATTTATTGGTGTGACTTTATACTTGACAACGAAAAGGAATAGTGTGGTTTAATTAGTGAACGTATTATTCATATTCAGTGAAAATACCTTATAGGTTATAGGTTCTGTTGTGACGAATAATTATTTTTGTTAATTTGGTGCTCTTTTTTAAGTGTTTGAATGTTGCTTCAATTTCAAGAGTATTTTGGTCATGGAGAATATCGCTCAAAAAACGCTTAAGGTTTATAATAAACTCAAACATTATGTTATTATTTATTAAATCAAATTATATCTTAAATTTATGAAGTATACTAGTACTAGTTTGTGGTCAAGCAAAGAACATCATCAATGCTACTTCAGCTCACTGAAAGTAAATAAACAGAAAATCTTATACATTGGTACAACTATCAATTGAAAGTCTCTAAAGCATCTTCTTTCAATCCAGAAGTATGCACAAGTCTTTTAAGCTTCAGGTTTCTTAAGTTCACAACAAGTAATACTTTTTGCAAAATTTGCAAATAAAATATCAAAATAGTTCGGCTAATGAGTTGTGAGTGCTGCTGCCATATCGCCTTGCATCTTGGGCCTCAGACATTGCACTCGTTAAACCCGCTAACGAAACCGACCTGTGAACATCAATGACAATTTCAAATTTCTCCCCAGACCCGTTGCTCAAATTAATTGACAAAATGTATGAAAGGCAACAAAAAAACTGAATTTTTCGCATTTCGTTCGCTAGTTTTTCATGTCGCCAAAGTCACAATTCGCAATGCATAAATTCAGTTCAAACTGGCTCAACTCGATTTTGAGTGGTTTGACCATAAGATCGGACAGCCATGAACTGATCCACCAGCTCCAGCTCCACCACGTAATGATTGCCGGGAAAACTAGTTACCAAAGGCCGTGAAAGTTGGAGCAACGCGGTGATCGGGTTTAGATGGAGTCTCTGCCCAATTACTGGCTGCCAGTAAATTGAATAAAGAAAGACATAAGGCCATCACTGCCACCAGCAGAGCTCGCCAGGGAAATTGTGGCTAATGCCATTTTTATGGGCGAGATACTCCCACGATACTGTAAAGTTTACAGCTGGGAGGAAGTAATTCTTCCGTGTGATCATTACTTCGCAGTCTTATGAGGTTTAGATTTGAGTAAGGAATAACCCAGGAACTCGTGTCAGAGAGGTATTCGATCAGTCCCATACTCTCTTTCCTAGACTTTTTGTGGTTTTTGAGACCCAACATTTAAATAAATGGCTATCAGGCGACAGAGGCGACACCCTCAAGTGCAAGTGTCCCCTTATCATCTTAAGAGTCAAGTGGAACTTTTGGTTAGACCTACTCCAGTAGCTATCTAATTAAAATATATACGATTTGCGTATCTCTGACTAATGGTTAATCATATCGCTATATAGAAAGCCCCAAAAAACGTAAAACGTAAAAACGTAGGTAGCCCTGAGAGGCTCTTAAAAGAAGTAGATTAGTTTTCTAAACCTTCAGAGGTTCCAAAGAGTCAAACTAAGCCCCTGACATGTATTATTACTTCCATTCCCATTAAATTCCACGTTTAACACTTAATTTCTCTCACTTCTTGGTCATTTGTCTGCCAATTTATTAACTCAACTCGACTTAAATTTAATTTATTTCGCTTTACTTTGTTTTCGTATGCAACTGGGGCTAGTGTCTGGTGAAAGGCGCCTACGCAGCCAGCCATTGTGCCTAAGCCTACACCTTGCAGCTCCTCGGATTTTCGTATTTTCTATTTTCCCATTTTCCTCTATTTTTTTATATATTATTTTCCCACTTAGTGGCTGTCTGCTCAAGTTAGCATGACCAGCGTCAGACTGATAACTGCTAACCCACAAAACTCATAAATAAATTTGTTCAATTCCAGCGAACAAGAAAGCCAAGCTGCTCAATGCCAGCAGCGGTGGAGGTGTCGGAGGAGGAGGAGGAGTCGGTGGCAATATCACCAAGGCCAAGGAGGAGGAGTCCCTAGGTGCGGGCAATACCCGAAATGGAATCTATGGCTACTCCGAGGGCGGCAAGGGTCAAAGGAGCAATGGCAACTACCAGAGCCAGCAGCAACAGCACTACCAGTCGCAGCAGCAGCAGCAACAGCATCACAGTCACCAGTACACGCCCAGTCTCTATGGAGGCGGATCCTCCGCCGAGGATCACTACGAGCTCACCCAGCACCAGCTGCAGCAGCAGCAGCAACAGATTTACGGCGAGTCTGGCAACGGCATGGGAGGCAATCCTGGCCTGGCTGGTGGACAGCGGACGGGCGGACCCAATCTGGTCAACAAGCAGCTGGTGCTGCCGTTTGTGCCGCCCAGTTTTCCCAATAAATCACAAGACGGCGTCACGCACCTCATCAAGCCGTCAGAGTATCTCAAGAGCATCAGCATCGACAAGCGTTCGTGTCCATCCTCCGCCCGGTGAGTGAGCTTACCCCCCTTCTAGTCCTAGTCCAAGTCCAAGTCCAAGTTGGACTCCTAGAGTCCACTTTCAATTAGCAGATGGCAGCCGATTTAATTTGGCTGAACATCTCGTGCAGCGGTTGTTATAATTAGTATTGGCGGTACAGTTGCCTCAATTAGCCAAAAATACAACAAAAAAAACACTAACCAAGCTGCAGAAAACACCCAAGATACATGGCTGCAAGACGCTTGGCTGACGCTGGGCAATTAGCAGCTTGCTGCCAGTGATGCTGGGTTTTAGCCAAAACAAAAATAAAGAAAAGCTAACTAAGTTTTTTAATATCTTTTTTTAAATATATTTCAACATATTAAGTCATGTATGAAAGTTAGTATTAGGGAAAACTTTCCAATCTGGCACAAATCTAGAAAAGTTTCAAACTTCTGGCAAATAGGTCTTTAAATTTACAATCAAAAAACTTCGTTATTAACATTTTAGCTAAAAGCCTAAAATTTGAACAGGAAAACCCCTTAATTCTTACCTTGCAGCAACTAAGCATAAAAAGGCTACAGAGGGATTTTTTTTTCAATTTAACTAATATATTATAGGTAGATATGATTATAAAGATTTCCCAAGTAAAATGTAGTAAAATTTCTTTAAAAAAATATAGATCTAGGTTTTTCCAGCTAAAAAAAAAATAATAAACCATCTACAAACCAAACTTATGGCTTATAAAAACCTCTTAAGTTAGCTACAAAAAAGTTGAGCTTACAGCATTTTATCCGCCGCTCAAGAGTGCATGAAATTTTATGCGTGCCACTTTGCGGCCTGCCACTTCTTTGTGGCACACACAGCAGTAACGGCAATGTGGCAGCTGCAGGTGCAACTGCAACTCAGTTGCAATTCGAAGATGATACTGCGCACACGCCACGCCTGGCGCAGGTGGGGAGCTCATCCTCCCAAGCCAAAACCCAAGCCCAAATCCAACCCAACCCATCAACAACCACATTTAGCCAGCTAATCTCATCTAATCCAGTGAAAGTTGCCTCTAAACAATGCTTTTATGCCTCTTTACAGCTCCACGGATACGGAGGACTACATGCAGATACAGATCGCCCAGCAGCAGCAGCAGCAGCAACAGGTGCACCTCTCCCAGCATCCACAGTCGCACCCGCATTCGCATCACCAGCACCCGCACCCACATCCCCATCCCCATCCACATCCGCACCACCAGCATGGACATGGAATGGGAGGTGAGCAGCCACCATTACCGCCGCCACCTCCACCACTACCCCATGGAATGCTGCCACCGCAGCCACTGGTACCGCTAATGAACTTGGCTAATGGGGGCCAGGATACGACCATGTCCGGTAAGTCATCGCACAAGCCCAAGAAGCCGCATGGAGCGACGCCCAGCAGCCAGGACACAGCCACCCGGAAGCAGCACCAGCCACTTTCAGCTATCTCCATACAGGATCTGAACAGCGTTCAGGTGAGGAAAAGCAAAGATTTCTAATAAAATGGTTATATATAAATGCTATCCCCTTTTGCAGCTGCGCCGCACGGACACCCAGAAGGTACCGAAACCCTACCAGATGCCCGCCCGCAGCCTGAGCATGCAGTGCCTCACCTCTGGCACGGACACATACCTCAAGTCCGACCTAATTGCCGAGCTGAAGATCTCCAAGGACATACCCGGCATCAAGAAGATGAAGGTGGAGCAGCAGATGGCCAGCCGAATGGACTCGGAGCACTACATGGAGATCACGAAGCAGTTTACGGCCAACAACTATGTGGATCAGGTAAGTTGAGGTCACATTCAACATTTGCAAAGGAGCGCTGGCTAAGTGGCGAGGCAAAGATCTACTTGCAGATACCCGAGAAGGACCAAGCCGGCAACGCGATCCCCGACTGGAAGCGCCAGATGATGGCTAAGAAGGCGGCCGAGCGGGCCAAGAAGGACTTCGAGGAGCGGATGGCCCAGGAGGCGGAGTCGCGTCGCCTCTCCCAGATACCGCAGTGGAAGCGCGATCTGCTGGCGCGGCGCGAGGATGCGGAGAACAAGCTGAAGTAAGTGGGTGCGAGTGGCAGGTGGCAGAGGGAGGCCTGGCCTCACTGTCCTTCTGACCTTCTTCCAGGGCGGCCATCTACACGCCCAAGGTGGAGGAGAACAACCGGGTGGCGGACACCTGGCGGCTCAAGAACCGCGCCATGTCCATCGACAACATCAACATCAATCTGGCGGGCATGGAGCAGCATTACCAGCAGATCCAGTACCAGCAACAGCAGCAGCAGCCCCAGCCGGTGGCCAACAAGGAGAACCATTCCGATCCGGATCAGGAGCATCAGCAGCAGCAGTCTGGTTCCGAAATCCTAGAGGCGCCGGAGGGCCAGCGGCAGGCCGAGGAGGAGGAGGAGGAGGATAACATCATCCCTTGGAGGGCACAGCTGCGCAAGACCAACAGTCGCCTCAGCCTGATCTGATCTGATTGCGAAGCATCATCCTTTTCACGTATTTCCTTCCAAGTGGTGCATTTTTTTTGTTTTTTTTTTTCATAACATAATATAAATTATAAAAAATAAAGCATTAAAAATATAATATAATCCCTAAAGCATGTGCAATTGAAAAATACCCTAAATGTAAACCCTATTGGCTAAGCTTAAGTTAAAGCAAAGGATAACTAGCTACTTACATTGTACTATATGGCATTAATAATATTATTATTTTTTTTTTTGGCAAAAAACATATTGTTATTCCTATGGGGCAGAATCGTTTATATTTAATCTCAATCGCTGTCCTTGAGTTCTATTCCGGTGTTGTACTTTTATCACTTGTAATACTTGTGTGAGTTTTTTTATTATTATTATTATTATTATTTTTATATCTCGTCGTGACTCGTCTTGAATTTATTAAGTAATGGCATTAATTTAATTTTCTTAGCTAAGCATTTTTTTATTGTTATTTGTTTTTATATATGCAGCTCAAGCAATATTACTATTAATTGCAAAAATACCCAATTTACATATTATGGATAAAACGAATGAACGAATCAATAAATACATATACATATATATATATATTAAAGGTTTCTTAGAGGTTTTAAAAAAGGGATGTAAATAATAATATATTATATTAATGTATTTATTTTTATATTTAATTTAGCAAAGTGCAAACGTACTCACTATCTGTGCTATAATTAAAAAACTGATAAATATGAAAGTGTGACAAAAACAAAACAATACTGATATGAAAAGATTTTTAATACATTTTTATATTTTATAATTAATAACATTAGCTATTGTATATTGTATATATAAGATAAGTTTTAATATTTAGAAGTATTTTGTTTGTAACAAATATAAGTAAAGTACTTTTAAATATTAAAATTAGGTACGTAGCTTTGTAGGCTCCTAATATTTTTGGTGTTCATCATTATCTGTATATTTAATTACAATTGACTTACAAACTTGTAAATAATTAATTAATAAGCTAGATAAGTTTTCCACGCTTTAACTTAATTGTTTCGACTAAAGGTCTGTCCGAATATAGATCCCAATTACTTTATTGGATCGAACAGCTGTCGTGCTGATCATTCGACACCTTGATAATTGACTTTTCCAGGGGTTTTGATTTTATTGTCGCCTTTAAAATTAACTCGTGCGACTTTCGCGGCAGCAACAGTTCCATCGGGCTGGAGATTGTGCAGGTGCCGCCCAGCATCGAGGAGGAACGTGTGTGGCCCGTCTCTATCTGGGGCCAATCTTGGAACCAACTCCATCGACTCCCACCCACCACAGGTGAAGGAAGCCCCCCACTATCTGGATCTAAGCGGGTGAGTATCTGGCGATGTATTTATTGTTTCCACGCTGCATAGATAGTGACAAATTAGTTTCGGACTTTGTGTGGCTTAATTAAACGCCCGTGCTACATATCAATGGCATATTAATTTACCAAAAATATATGTGCAAATCGGGCCAGATAGATCTCGCCGCCACTTGACCACTGTCCACTGTCCACTGATAGGGCCTCTGCGGTTCTTCTATATAAGCAAACCCCGCGGATCAGCCGGCAAACATTCGCCAGTGAATCCATCCACCAGCAACATGAAAGTGATCAGTCTGTGCCTCCTGGTTGTGGCTTCGGCCAGCTTCCTCCTGACCACCGTCAGCGTAAGTCCAGTTACCAAGGAGCTTCTCTGAAGGAGCCGAAGTATATACTTCAAGTGCAGAAGTACTTGCTATCTCAAGCGAGGGGCTGATAAGACTAAAAGTGTGACAAAAACAAAGAGATACTATTTTTTTACAATTTTTTTTTACATTTTTTGTACCAAAAACCTAAATCTAACGAGTTTGTGTAAAAAATAAGTTGTACAAAGTGAAAAGAGAGGCTCTCCCATAGCTAGTTTTCAGGTGCAAAATACTCGAATTGTTTAAAGTGTGTGAAAACCGAAAACATGCAAACAAAAACCTGATCCTTATTATTTATACTTTCTTATATAATTTGTTACTTAACCTTTTGTATCCCTTGTATGTATCCAGGCCAATGCCGTGGAGTCCTACGATGACATGTACGACGTCGAGTGGGATGTGTCCGCTTTGATTGCCGAGCTCTCGGCTCTCGAGGACATGGACGGCGAGTACATGGATGTGGAGGCCTTTGGATTCATCGGCGCCTGCAAGAACATCCTGTGGAAAGGCTTCAAGGGCGTGAACGGCACTAACTGCATCATCAAGGAGGTGATCAATGTAATGAGCGCCTGCACCAGCTACGTGGACAACATCGGCCACTGCACCCTGAACGTGCCCAAGGATGTCCTGGCTATTGTCAACAATGCCAAGCAGATGGCCGTCATCGGCAACAACATTATCCATCTCCGTTCCCAGCTCTGCAATTCCTCCACCTCCACCTCCACCAGGGGTGTGGTTTCCGTCACCAAGAACTCGTTCAAGTGCTTCATCAAGCTATTCAAGGCCACTATGGGCCTCGTCCGCCGCATGAACCTCATGATCAAGCAGTCCGGCCGCCTGCCCTCCAACACTGCCACCTGCTTCGTGGGTGCCACCAAGAGCGTGGTTGCCTCCTGCAACGCCTTTGTGCCCAACATCAACACCTGCATCGCCAACATGTAAGCATTGCAATTGTAATAAAACTATGATATTATGAGCAATTCGTATGGGTTTCTTTTTTTCTAATTTTGAAGAGATTAGATTTTCCCTAATTTTTGAGTAAATTGCTACTTTAAATGGGTAATAAATTATAAAACAAGAAGGGCAACAAACTTCGGGAAGCCCGATTTTATATACCCTTGCAGTTTGATAATAAATTATTGGATAGAATCGGATATTGCTCATACATAAGCTTAAACTACACGTATTTTTTTAACAATACTTATCGGTTTTTCGAAAAATCAAAATTTTAAGAACGCATAACTCAGCCAAAAAAGGGTTAATTTTAATTCGGAATGCTTTCCTGAGATGGCTAGATTGATTCTGATCAAGAATCTGTTGATGCTGATCAAGAATATATATGATTAGTAGGGTGGAAAATGACTCCTTCACTGAGTTTCAAGCTCCTGACTAAAATTATAATACTCTGGAAGGCTATGTATATTTAATACTTTATACTATAACACTTTATATTATATCTGAATAAGTAATAGAATTAAAACAAAACAAAATTCCAGTGTTAAGGCATGGTAGCAAGTAGAAATGGTAAAGACGCACATCGATTTGGCCTTCAGGAACACAAATAAATACACATTTTCCAATTTATCAAATGAGCCTAAGGCATTCGCAAATAGATAACATTCTGGACTTTCCTCAAAGGTCGGAATTTCTCCAGGTGTTTGAGCTTCTGGCCAATAAAGCAGATAAAATGAACAAACAAAGAGAAGTAATCACCTTGCTTACGACCTTACCTGTGGTCAAATCGTTTTTGTATACTTTTGATAAACAATAAATCGATTGATATCATTCATCATTTGGAAAACCTACAAAAAACAGGCAGAAGAATGACTACCTCAAAGCGTTTTAAATTCATAATTTACATTTCCATAAAGCAAAAGATATATTACTATTATTATTATTAAATAAAAATAATGAAATTGACATACAGACAGACCAAGGACTATTATCCTTTATAATTTACAGAATTGGAAAAAATTCTTAGTAATTTTTTCACACTTTTTTAAAGGCTTGCATCATTGAAATTATCACAAATTCAAACAACAAAAAACAACAACAACAAATATTAATACCTCATGCGTAGATTTATTAGGCTCATAAAAAGTAGCCAAGAAACCCTTAATTTTCATTCCTTTCTGGTTCCTTTCAATATTTTCTTCTCCTTTCTTGATTCAAAACATATATGATATATATATATATATGTAGTTTATAGTATTCAAAGACAGGATATTTTTATATAATGCTTTATTCAGTTAAAAAGTGTAAAGAGGACCTTCCTAAGAGGTCAACTGGGAGCAGACGAGCATGTTTTGAGGGAAGGCCGTGTAGTAGGTGACCAGGGTGTTGACGGCATCGTTGACACAGGCGACGGCATTGGGTCCGGTCTTGGGCAGCTTGCCGGCCAGCTTAATGGCAGCCTTCACCTGCTTGTTCAGTTTCCATACTCCAGCCAGAGTCTTCGCGAAGCAGCTGTTGGTAATCGTGGATCCCTCGGTGTCGGTATTGGCACAGACCCCGGACTTCTGGTTGATGAGACTGGAGGAGGTGCTGATGATATTGGCGTTGGCATTGATCAGGTTGGTCACATCCTTGCTGGCGGTCACACCGCAACCGACCACATTCCTGTTGAAACTGGTGGCACTGTCCTGGATACCGGCGACCCACTTGAGCACACAGTTGAGTCCCTTGATGCTGCGTAGAGCCAGCTTAATGTACTTGTAGGTGCTGCTTAAAATGGCCAAATCCTCGGTCGCCTGGCCATCGATCAAGTCGGTTAAGTCGGCCAATTCTGGCGAGGAGTCCACGTTGGGATGGGGCACCACCACGGCATTTACCTACAAGTAATTATTCCATTAATTATGTTTTATATTTATTAATTAAATTGTATATTTTTGAATTTTTTGTTTAGAAACTCACGCAGAGCAGGCACAAGGCCAAAGCAAAGAGGGTAAACTTCATGTTTTCGCTGTTTTGAACAAACTATAACGACCCCCATCGGTTGTGGGCCTTTTATATCGTTGGACGGCTTAACCCTAGGTATGTCTACATTCCTTACGATAACAGACCCGAAGCTTCTTTGGGGGTGTTTATTTCATTTGACCTTTGCCTGTATACATTTATTATATCATTTATTAAATCTGATAATTTAAATTCTACTTCAACTGATTAACGCTTCTAATATCTCAAATAAAAATTTGTCTTATAATTAATTAGTAAATATAATGGTTCAATGATGTACTTTTCCATTGGCCCTAAAAGGGTTAATACCAAGTCGACTTGAGCTAGTTGTCGCAATTCCTAGCTGATAAGGTTGTAAGCCAATTGGACAATTCCGAATCGAATGTTAATTTATCTATCAAAATATTTAAAAAACCATTAAGGGGCCTTACAGGCCAGTAACTTTGTTAATGCTTAAGCCAATTTCACATAGTTTCTTTCGGTATTTTTAGGGTGCTGATTTATTTATTTTGAGATATATTCATGTCTACGGTTTTGTAAAATGTAAATTTGTAGCATCTATTAGCACCTTGTCGCAGCCTCCTCCATGGTTTTTAGTGTTAGAAGTACATCTACAAATATATGCGAGTAACGTGTCCAACCTCTTTACTGCATATAGGACAGTCAAATCTGTATTCCAGGGATTTGTTCAAGCACTCAGTGCAGAACACATACTCTTAAAAAGGGACTGCTTTTATGACCAGAATAAAAGTTTGACACATACCCTTAGCGAATGGACTACTATGTATCGGTTTCATCTATATATTTTTATATTTCCTTAAGTCGTATAATTCATTAAAGTTCTCATAACTAGCCCCCGGAAGCGCTTCCAACGACGGATCGGGATACAAATGCCCCATATGCATATCGGTTCTGCAGGACCCAACCGCGACAACTTCTTCTTCAACAGGCGAAACGATGCCCTGGTCATCAGACTTGACTGTCTGCATAAATCAGCTGTAAGCAGTGTTTCTCGCCTATTTTTATGTTGGAATAAATTACATATTATCACTAAACAAACGATGGCTGCGACAAGATAGAGAGGGGTAAGCAAAAAAGTTAAACTCATTAACTCATTTAAATTAGAATTTAAACATACGATTAGTGCCCACCACATGAACTCAGATGGTGGCTTGGACCGCACTAGCTGTCATACCAAGATCTTGAGAAGGTTCGAAACTCCGAATTCTTATATAAGCTTATAAAAGTTCTTCGTCGCCCTCGGAAGCTTTTTGTTCGCTTCAACAGTCTGGCAGCTCTACTCTATCGATAAATTTTTCTTTACGGTAAATACTAAGGTAAATACTGAAAAGTCGGCATTTTGAAGGTAAAACTTTGCAGGCACACTGCCGCTAATTAAGTGAAAATCATCTTGCAAAAATACTTCGTAAATTGATGCTACCTGCTTTCTTGGACCTAGCAGCAACACCGAACATGCTCCACCTGAAGATGTTCGAGCCCCCAGGAGTTGCGGGAGCGCTTCACAGAGATGCGCGAGCTCGATCTTGCAGTGCAAAGTGAGTCTTCCCAAACAACATCAGGTTGCAGCGTCTAATCCCTCATCCACTCTATCCACAGATAACATGTACTCGCTGGACAAGAAGGCGCACCTCTTCTCAAGCAGTGCAAGCGCGACGAGCTGCAAAACGAGTCCACGGACACGGTGTTCCACAGCCTGCGCCGTGAGTACTTCAAGATGGCTTCCCGGAGCTGAACCACCGCAGCCACTGCTCTGCTGCTGATTATGAACAAGGAGAACTAGTAGCGGGGCTAACTTGACCGACACCTTGGCCAACAGCTTCGCTTTGCGGCCTCTGGCGCCGGTACAGGCTCGGTAGCATATTGGCTGCCCTTATCTGTGCCAGCCAGCGACACCGGAAGCTGGAAAGCAACGCGAGACTATCCGAACAGTGCGCCAATTTAACCTACTCACTCTCCGTTGTCTCACCAGGATCAACCACTGCGTCCGCCTCTAACGTCACAACCGCGCAAGCCCAGGCGGCCAATCAGGTCGGCAGCAGAGCCATTACGCATCTCGCCATGCCCGTGGCCGTGAGTGTTGGCGTTACTGTGCCACGGCCACATACAACCTGCAGCAGCGTGGCGGAGGAGTCTCCGCTTCCAGTGCCATTGCCAAAGCAGCCAGCAAAGCGATAGTGACCACCCAAGAGATGCAGCAAGGACGCATAACGGTCAGTCTGAAGGCCAGCTATGAGGCCATCCATGAAGAGGCTAGTACCACGGCCGAATTCTGGTTGCAGGCCATAATGGCTTATAGCAGCCTGGCGAAGTGGCGGCCGGAACAGCTTTGGCCACCAGCGGTGCAGTCGGAGCCACAAGCAGCTCGCACCACACCAGCCGCGGACATGAACATTGACATGGACACCGCAGCCGCAGCAGGCACAGTAATCACCGTTAGGAGAAGAAGCTAAACATGGCCCTGGTTGTGCCCACATGTCTGACTGTGCACAAAACTGGGCACCTCCACGTCCGACGGCAACTCCGTCTCCTCGTCGACCTCAGCGATGAACGTGGATTCGATGGGCATGCTACCCACGGCAGCAGATGTGGCCTCGACGACTCTCTCAGCCGGTGGCCTGGCCCACGGCTCGCTCTCGATGGCGGTAGCAGAAGCGGTTTGTTTGGCGGGCCACAAATCCCAACCCCAAGACCGGGCAACGTGTATTGCCAGGTAATAAATGAATTAAACTACAAAGTTGAACAAACAAATAACATCTTTTACACCATAAATTTTTTCTGATCGTATTTACAACTCTATTTTAAATTAAACGCTTGATTTAATTGTTCTCAAATTTCAGCAGTGCTGGAAAACGCAATACTTCGAAGGTTTCAAGCACTGAACTATCGATAACTTTATAAGTGCGACCAGTTTAGGTAAATGTAAAAAATCGTAAAACTAACAGTCTGCCAGCTCTAAACTATCGATATTTTTCAGATCGTGATAGATTCTTTTACGATAAATACTGAAAATTCGGCGTTTTGAAGGTAAAACTTTGCGGGCACACTGCCGCTAATTCAGTGAAATCATCTTGGAAAAATAGTTCGTAAATTCATGCTGCCTGCTTTCTTGGACCTAGCAGCAACACCTGACATGCTTTACCTGAAGATTTTTGAGCCTCCAGGAGTTGCGGGACCGATTCACAGAGATGCGCGAGCTCGATCTTGCAGTGTATCCAAGCATCTCAATCTGCCCGTGGCCGTGGCCGTGAGTTTTGGCGTTACTGTACCACGGCCACATACAACCTGCAGCAGCGTCGCGGAGGAGTCTCCGCTTCCAGTGCTATTGTCATAGCAGCCAGCTAAGCGCTAGTGGCCACCCAACAGATGCAGCAAGGACGCAGAACGTCCTCTCTGAAGAACAGCTAAGAGGCCATCCATGAAACGGCCGGTACAACGGCCGAATTCTGGTTGCAGGCGGGCCAGAGTGGCCTACAGCAGCCCGACGGAGTGGCGGCCGGGAAAGCTTTAGGCACCAGTGGTGCAGCAGGAGCCACTAGCAGCTCGCTCCACCCTCACCACTGCCAGACGCACTACAACAGAACACCGCAGCTACAACAGCAGCCACAGCGGGACTGCAATCAATACCAGGAGAAGTTAAACACGGCCTGGTTGTGCCCACATGTCTAACTGTGCACAAAACTGGGCACCTCCACGTCCGGCGGCAATTCTATCTCCTCGTCGACCTCAGCGAAGAGCGTGGATTCGATGGGCATGCTACCCCACCCTCGACGAATCTCTCAGCCGGTGGCCTGGCCCACGGCTCGCTCTCGATGTCGGTAACAGAAGCGGTTGGTTTGGTGGGCCACAAATCCCAACCCCAAGACCGGACAACGTGTATTGCCAGGTAATAAATTAATTAAACTATAAAGTTGAACAAACAAATAACATTCTTTATACCTTAAATTTGTTCTGATTGTATTTACAACTCTATTTTAAATGAAACGCTTAATTTAATTGTTTTCAAATTTCAGCAGTGCTGGAAAACGCAATACTTCGAAGGTTTCAAGCACTGAACTATCGATAACTTTATAAGTGCGACCAGTTTAGGTAAATGTAAAAAATCGTAAAACTAACAGTCTGCCAGCTCTAAACTATCGATATTTTTCAGATCGTGATAGATTCTTTTACGATAAATACTGAAAATTCGGCGTTTTGAAGGTAAAACTTTGCGGGCACACTGCCGCTAATTCAGTGAAAATCATCTTGGAAAAATAGTTCGTAAATTCATGCTGCCTGCTTTCTTGGACCTAGCAGCAACACCTGACATGCTTTACCTGAAGATTTTTGAGCCTCCAGGAGTTGCGGGACCGATTCACAGAGATGCGCGAGCTCGATCTTGCAGTGTATCCAAGCATCTCAATCTGCCCGTGGCCGTGGCCGTGAGTTTTGGCGTTACTGTACCACGGCCACATACAACCTGCAGCAGCGTCGGGGAGGAGTCTCCGCTTCCAGTGCTATTGTCATAGCAGCCAGCTAAGCGCTAGTGGCCACCCAACAGATGCAGCAAGGACGCAGAACGTCCACTCTGAAGAACAGCTAAGAGGCCATCCATGAAACGGCCGGTACAACGGCCGAATTCTGGTTGCAGGCGGGCCAGAGTGGCCTACAGCAACCCGACGGAGTGGCGGCCGGGAAAGCTTTAGGCACCAGTGGTGCAGCAGGAGCCACTAGCAGCTCGCTCCACCCTCACCACTGCCAGACGCTCTACACCAGCCACGGACATGGACACAGGCAAGGACACCGCAGCCACAACAGCAGTCACAGCGGGCACAGTAATCAAAACCAGGAGAAGGTGGTTCACAAATCCCAACCCCAAGACCGGGCAACGTGTATTTCCCAGGTAATAAGTGAATTAAGCTAAAAGGTTGAACAGTCACATAACGGGGTTTACCATATATTACTTTAAATTTTTCCTGATCATATTTACAACTCGATTTGAAATGAAATATTTAATTGTTCTCAAATTCCAGCAGTGCTGGAAAACGCAACAAATTCAAGAGTTTGGCAGCACTGAACTATCGATAACTTTATAAGTGCGACCAGTTAAAGTAAATGTAAAAATCTTAACGTTTTAACAGTCTGGCAGCTCTAAACTATCGATATTTTTCAGATCGTGATAATTTTCTTGACGATAAATACTGAAAATTTGGCATTTCGTAGGTAAAACTGTGCAGGCACACTGCCGCTAATTTTGTGAAAATCATCCTGCAAATATAGTTGGTAAATTCTTGCTGCCTTATTTCTTGGACCTAGCAGCAACACCGAACATGCTCTACCTGGAGATGTTCGAGTCCCCAGGAGTTGCACGACCGTTCACAAAGATGCACGGACTCGATCTTGCAGTGCAAAGTGAGTCTCCCCAAACAACATCAGGTTGCAGCGTCTAATCCCTCATCCACTCTATCCACAGATAACATGTACTCGCTGGACAAGAAGGCGCACCTCTTCTCAAGCAGTGCAAGCGCGACGAGCTGCAAAACGAGTCCACGGACACGGTGTTCCACAGCCTGCGCCGTGAGTACTTCAAGATGGCTTCCCGGAGCTGAACCACCGCAGCCACTGCTCTGCTGCTGATTATGAACAAGGGGAACTAGTAGCGGGGCTAACTTGACCGACACCTTGGCCAACAGCTTCGCTTTGCGGCCTCTGGCGCCGGTACAGGCTCGGTAGCATATTGGCTGCCCTTATCTGTGCCAGCCAGCGACACCGGAAGCTGGAAAGCAACGCGAGACTATCCGAACAGTGCGCCAATTTAACCTACTCACTCTCCGTTGTCTCACCAGGATCAACCACTGCGTCCGCCTCTAACGTCACAACCGCGCAAGCCCAGGCGGCCAATCAGGTCGGCAGCAGAGCCATTACGCATCTCGCCATGCCCGTGGCCGTGAGTGTTGGCGTTACTGTGCCACGGCCACATACAACCTGCAGCAGCGTGGCGGAGGAGTCTCCGCTTCCAGTGCCATTGCCAAAGCAGCCAGCAAAGCGATAGTGACCACCCAAGAGATGCAGCAAGGACGCATAACGGTCAGTCTGAAGGCCAGCTATGAGGCCATCCATGAAGAGGCTAGTACCACGGCCGAATTCTGGTTGCAGGCCATAATGGCTTATAGCAGCCTGGCGAAGTGGCGGCCGGAACAGCTTTGGCCACCAGCGGTGCAGTCGGAGCCACAAGCAGCTCGCACCACACCAGCCGCGGACATGAACATTGACATGGACACCGCAGCCGCAGCAGGCACAGTAATCACCGTTAGGAGAAGAAGCTAAACATGGCCCTGGTTGTGCCCACATGTCTGACTGTGCACAAAACTGGGCACCTCCACGTCCGACGGCAACTCCGTCTCCTCGTCGACCTCAGCGATGAACGTGGATTCGATGGGCATGCTACCCACGGCAGCAGATGTGGCCTCGACGACTCTCTCAGCCGGTGGCCTGGCCCACGGCTCGCTCTCGATGGCGGTAGCAGAAGCGGTTTGTTTGGCGGGCCACAAATCCCAACCCCAAGACCGGGCAACGTGTATTGCCAGGTAATAAATGAATTAAACTACAAAGTTGAACAAACAAATAACATCTTTTACACCATAAATTTTTTCTGATCGTATTTACAACTCTATTTTAAATGAAACGCTTGATTTAATTGTTCTCAAATTTCAGCAGTGCTGGAAAACGGAAAACTTCGAAGGTTTCAAGCACTGAACTATCGATAACTTTATAAGTGCGACCAGTTTAGGTAAATGTAAAAAAATCGTAAAACTAACAGTCTGGCAGCTCTAAACTATCGATATTTTTCAGATCGTGATAGATTCTTTTACGATAAATACTGAAAATTCGGCGTTTTGAAGGTAAAACTTTGCGGGCACACTGCCGCTAATTCAGTGAAAATCATCTTGGAAAAATAGTTCGTAAATTCATGCTGCCTGCTTTCTTGGACCTAGCAGCAACACCTGACATGCTTTACCTGAAGATTTTTGAGCCTCCAGGAGTTGCGGGACCGATTCACAGAGATGCGCGAGCTCGATCTTGCAGTGTATCCAAGCATCTCAATCTGCCCGTGGCCGTGGCCGTGAGTTTTGGCGTTACTGTACCACGGCCACATACAACCTGCAGCAGCGTCGCGGAGGAGTCTCCGCTTCCAGTGCTATTGTCATAGCAGCCAGCTAAGCGCTAGTGGCCACCCAACAGATGCAGCAAGGACGCAGAACGTCCTCTCTGAAGAACAGCTAAGAGGCCATCCATGAAACGGCCGGTACAACGGCCGAATTCTGGTTGCAGGCGGGCCAGAGTGGCCTACAGCAGCCCAACGGAGTGGCGGCCGGAAAAGCTTTGACCACCAGAAGTGCAGCCGGAGCCACAAACAGCTCGTACCACTTCCATACGCACCACACCAGCCGCGGACATTAACATGGACATGGACACCGCAACCGCAGCGGGCACAGTAATCACCACCAAGAGAAGAAGTTAAACACGGCCTTGGTGGTGCCCACACCACATTGGGCACCTCCACGTCTGGCGGCAACTCTGTCTCCTCGTCGATCTCCGCGATGAGCGTGGGTTCGGTGGGTATGCTCTCCACGGCAGCAGCTGTGGCTTCGACGAATCTGTCGGCCAGTGGCCTGGTCCACGGCTCGCTCTCGATGACGGTAGCAGGTTTCGCAGCCCCAAGAATGCGCAACGTGTATTTGCCAGTCAATCAGTGAATTAAACGAAGTTGAACTATAAATTCGTGTTTTTATTTAAAACTCCAAGTAAAATAAAACTTTTCATTGTTGTGAAATTACAGCAGTGTTGGATAACGTAAAAAGTCTGGCAGTACTGAAAAATCGATAACTTTATCAGTGTTTCTATAATTGGTTTGAGTCTTTGCTAACTGTTATACGCTGATCTTGAGAAGGTTTGAAACTCGGGGTTTTTATAACAGTTTCCTGATTTTTAGTCACCTTCTGCTGCTTTCTGTTCGCCTGTTACTCCAGGCCGGGAAACTAGCGATTTGCTTCCAAATTTTCGGCACGCGGCCGTTCGCAATGCGCGGAAACGGAGTAAATGAATCAGCACAGATGTATATTTGACCAATCCAGTTTTATTTGGAAATGAGAAAACGTGCTTCCTTACTAACTATATATATTATTTGGATACATATATTATATATTATTATATAATTGGATACTCCGCATTAGAATCCCGTGCATCATCCCGTCTCGGCTCTAACGGCGCGACCAGACGCCACCGCCGCGGAAAAGGAAGGCCATCGGGCGAAGTCAGCCTCAGTTCTTTCGGTTGCCCCGGCGACGCATGGAGGCGGTGCACTTGGGGCAGTACCACTTGCCCTTTGGCGGCTGCGTAATGCCTACGCAGGGATAGTGGAACCACTCGTAGGGGCAGGCGTCGTTGTCGCAGGCCACCATGTCGCCGTAGGATACCTGGTTGCAGGTGCAGTAACGCGGCTCGTTGGGATCGTACGACCATTCGCCCTCGTTCGTCTGCTCCACGACCAGTCCGTTCTCGCCGATGGTCAGGCTGGAACCAGGAGTTAGCGCAGTGGTCGGCAGGCTCATGCTGGCCACTCCGGCGGGAACTCCTCCAGCCACGTTGGCGGGATTGCCCGCCAAACCAACGGTTCCTGCCGCCGTCATGGAGAGCGAGCCGTGGACCAGGCCACCGGCCGAGAGATTCGTCGTGGCCGCAGCCGCCGCCGTAGAGAGCATATCCACCGAATCCACGCTCATGGATGAGGTCGACGAGGCAATGGAGTTGCCGCCGGACGTGGAGGTGCCCAGCGTCTGTACAGCCAGAGACGTGGGCAGCGGCAGGGCCGTGTTAAGCTTCTTCTTCTGCTTCTTCTCCTGGTGGTGACTGCTGTGCCCGCTGTGGCTGCTGTTGTGGCCGTGGTGTCCATGCCCGTGGCCATGTCCATGTCCATGGCCGTGACTGGTGTGGTGCGTCTGGGAGTGGTGAGGGTGGTGCGAGCTGCTAGTGGATCCAGCGGCGCCGCTGGTGGCCAAAGTTGTTCCAGCCGCCACTGCCGCCGCCCCGCCGGGCTGCTGTAGGCCACTCTGGCCCGCCTGCGACCAGAATTCTGCCGTGGTACCTGCCGCTCCATGGATGGCTTCATAGCTTGCCTTCAGACTGGCCGTTCTGCGTCCCTGCTGCATCTGTTGAGTGGCCACTATCGCTTGGCTGGCTGCTGCGGCAATGGCACTGGAAGCGGAGGCTCCTCCGCCAAGCTGCTGTAGGTTGTAGGTGACCGTGGCATTGGCACCTGCAGCGGGGTGTCCGCCATGTCCATGGCCTGTGGCTGATGTTGCAATCGGTGCAGAGGAACCCACAGATTGGCCCTGTGTCTGGGCCGCTCCTCCAGAAGTGGTGAGCACGCTGTGAGCCAAATTAGTGGGCAGCTGGCGCACTACCGAGCCGGCAGCTCCTGTCAGGGAAGTGGTTGCCAGGCTCCCAGCTCCGCCAGTAACGCCAACACTCACGCCCACGGCCACGGGCAGAGTAAGATGCGTGGTGGCTATGCTGCCAACATGATTGGCCGCCTGGGCTTGCGCGTTTGTGACACTAGCCAGACCAGCGGCGGCCGCTGCAACTGCTGCCGCCGCTGTGGCGGACGCAGGGGTTGATCCTGGTGCGACCGCCGAGCCGGATGCGACAACGGGGAGTGAATGGTTGAGATTGGCGCGCTTCTCCTGAACAGGAACCGTGCAGATGGTCTCGCGTCGCTTTTCCAGCTTCCGATGTCGCTGGCTGGCACTAATTTGTGCAGCCGAGATGCTGCCGAGGGCTCCTGCGTTGGTCAGAGCCATCACTGTGGAGGCTGTGCCGGATACAGAGCCCGCAACGTGGCCTGCGGAGCTGTTGACCAGGCTGTTGGCCGAGCTGGCGCCGTAGTAGCGGTTCTCCTTCTGGTTCATGCTCAGCAGCAGGGCAGTGGCTGCCGTTGAGTTGCCGTCCAGCTCCAGGGAGCGACGCTCGAGGATCTCGGTGATGCCGTTGTTGTCCGCCTCCAGTTCGCACTTGAACTTGAAAAGCTCGCTGTCCAGGCGACGCAAATAGCGCTCGACCAGCTCATGGATTTGTGTCGCGATGGCCACCTTCTCGTCGGCGTCCTCCATAACCCTTAAGTACTCACTGCGCAGGCTGTGGAACTCCGTGTCCATGGACTCGTGCTGTAGCTCGTCGCGCTTGCACTGCTTAAAGAAGAGGTGCGCCTTCTTGTCTAGTGAGTCCATATCGTCTGTGAATAGTGTATGAGGGATTAGGAGCTGCAAGGTGAAGTTGCTTGGGGGACTCACTTTGCACTGCAAGATCGAGCTCGCGCATTTCTGTGAAGCGGTCGCGCAGCTCCTGGGGCAGGTGCTCGATCATCTCCAGGTAGTCCTCCAGGTAAAGCATGTTCGGTGTTGCTGCTGGACCCAAGAAAAATAGAATCAGGAACAATTTACGAACACTTTTTTTGCAAGATGATTTTCACAAAATTAGCGGCAGTGTGCCTGCAAAGTTTTACCTACGAAATGCCAAATTTTCAGTATTTATCGTAAAGTAATTTATCACGATCTGAAAAATATCGATAGTTTAGAGCTGCCAGACTGTTAAAAACTGGTCCACTTATAAAGTTATCGATAGTTCAGTGCTGCCAAACTCTTGAATTTGTTGCGTTTTCCAGCACTGCTGGAATTTGAGAACAATTAAATATTTCAATTCAGAGTTGTAAATATGATCAGGAAAAATTTAAAGTAATATATGGTAAACCCCATGTTGTGATTGTTGAACTTTTTAGCTTAATTCACTTATTACCTGGCAAATACACCTTGCCCGGTCTTGGGGTTGGGATTTGTGAACCGCCTTCTCCTGGTTTTGATTACTGTGCCCGCTGTGACTGCTGTTGTGGCTGCGGTGTCCTCGCCCTTGGCTGGTGTAGTGCGTCTGGTAGTGGTGAAAGTGGTGCGAGCTGCTAGTGGCTCCCGCTGCACCGCTGGTGGCTAAAGCTTTTCCGGCTGCCACTCCGTCGGGCTGCTGTAGGCCACTCTGGCCAGCGCGCAACCAGAACCCGGCCGTTGTACCAGCCGTTTCATGGATGGCCTCATAACTGGCCTCCAGAGTGGACGTTCTGCGTCCTTGCTGCATCTATTGGGTGGCCACATACGCTTGGTTATATGTGGCTGTGGCACAGTAACGCCAACACTCACGCCCACAGCCACCGGCAAGGTGAGATTCGTGGTGGCTCTGCTGCCGACATGATTGGCCGCCTGGGCTTGCGCTGTTGTGACGCAGTTGATGATCTTAGTGCGGTTGCCGAGCCTGATGCAACCACGGGGAGTGAGTGGTTGAGATTGGTGCGCTTTTCCTAGGCAGGCACTGTGCAGATGGTCTTACGCCGCTTTCCTGCTTTCGTTGTCGCTGGCTGGCACTGATTTGACAGCTCCACGAAGCCACCTTGGAACTCCTGTGGAACTGTGGCTGTGGAACTCCGTGTCCATGGACTCGTTCTGCAGCTCGTCGTGCTTGCACTGCTTGAAGAAGAGGTGCGCCTTCTTGTCTAGCGAGTCCGTGTTGTCTGTGGATAGAGTGGATGAGTGATTAGATGCTGCACCCTGATGTTGTTTGGGGAGACTCACTTTGCACTGCAAGATCGAGCCCGCGCATCTCTGTGAAGCGGTCCCGAAACTCCTGGGGGCTCGAACATCTCCAGGTGGAGCATGTTCGGTGTTGCTGCTAGGTCCAAGAAAGCAGGCAGCATCAATTTACGAACTATTTTTGCAAGATGATTTTCACTCAATTAGCGGCAGTGTGCCTGCAAAGTTTTACCTTCAAAACGCCGAATTTTCAGTATTTATCGTAAAAGAATCTATCACGATCTGAAAAATATCGATAGTTTAGAGCTGCCAGACTGTTAAAGTTTTACGATTTTTACATTTACCTAAACTGGTCGCACTTACAAAGTTATCGATAGTTCAGTGCTTGAAACCTTCGAAGTATTGCGTTTTCCAGCACTGCTGAAATTTGAGAACAATTAAATCAAGCGTTTCATTTAAAATAGAGTTGTAAATACGATCAGAAAAAATTTATGGTGTAAAAGATGTTATTTGTTTGTTCAACTTTGTAGTTTAATTCATTTATTACCTGGCAATACACGTTGCCCGGTCTTGGGGTTGGGATTTGTGGCCCGCCAAACAAACCGCTTCTGCTACCGCCATCGAGAGCGAGCCGTGGGCCCGGCCACTGGCTGAGAGATTCGTCGAGGGCACAGCTGATGCCGTGGAGAGCATACCCATCGAGTTGCCGCCAGACGTGGAGGTGCCCAGTTTTGTGCACAGTCAGACATGTGGGCACAACCAGGGCCGTGTTTAACTACTCCTGGTATTGATTGCAGTCCCGCTGTGGCTGCGGTGTCCTTGCCCGTGGCTGTTGTAGTGCGTCTGGCAGTGGTGAGGGTGGTGCGAGCTGCTAGTGGCACCTGATGCACCACTGGTGGCCAAAGCTGTTCCGGCCGCCACTCCGCCGGGCTGCTGCAACCGAAATTCGGCCGTGGTACCAGCCGCTTCATGGATGGCCTCAAAGCTGGCCTTCAGACTGGCCGTTATGCGTCCCTGCTGCATCAGTTGTGTGGTCACTATTGCTGCGCAAATGGCACTGGGAGCGGAGACTGCTCCGCCAAGCTGATGCAGGTTGTATGTGTCTGTGGCACACGCCCACGGCCACGGTGACGCGTGGTGGCCGCCTGGGTTTGCGCGGTTGTGAGGCTAGCGGCGGCAGTTGTTTATCCTAATGCAACAACGGGAAGTGAGTGGTTGAAATTGGCGCACTGTTTGGATGGTCTCGCGTTGCTGTCCAGCTTCCGGTGTCGCTGGCTGGCACAGATAAGGGCAGCCAATATGCTACCGAGCCTGTACCGGCGCCAGAGGCCGCATCGTGGCCCGCGAAGCTGTTGGCCAAGGTGCCGATCAAGTTAGCCCCGCTACTAGTTCTCCTTGTTCATAATCAGCAGCAGAGCAGTGGCTGCGATGGTTCAGCTCCGGGAAGCCATCTTGAAGTACTCACGGCGCAGGCTGTGGAACTCCGTGTCCGTGGACTCGTTCTGCAGCTCGTCGCGCTTGCACTGCTTGAGAAGAGGTGCGCCTTCTTGTCCAGCGAGTACATGTTATCTGTGGATAGAGTGGATGAGGGATTAGACGGTGCAACCTGATGTTGTTTGGGGAGACTCACTTTGCACTGCAAGATCGAGCTCGCGCATCTCTGTGAAGAGCTCCCGCAACTCCTGGGGGCTCGAACATCTCCAGGTGGAGCATGTTCGGTGTTGCTGCTAGGTCCAAGAAAGCAGGCAACATCAATTTACGAACTATTTTTGCAAGATGATTTTCACTTAATTAGCGGCAGTGTGCCTGCAAAGTTTTACCTTCAAAACGCCGAATTTTCAGTATTTATCGTAAAAGAATCTATCACGATCTGAAAAATATCGATAGTTTAGAGCTGCCAGACTGTTAAAGTTTTACGATTTTTACATTTACCTAAACTGGTCGCACTTACAAAGTTATCGATAGTTCAGTGCTTGAAACCTTCGAAGTATTGCGTTTTCCAGCACTGCTGAAATTTGAGAACAATTAAATCAAGCGTTTCATTTAAAATAGAGTTGTAAATACGATCAGAAAAAATTTATGGTGTAAAAGATGTTATTTGTTTGTTCAACTTTGTAGTTTAATTCATTTATTACCTGGCAATACACGTTGCCCGGTCTTGGGGTTGGGATTTGTGGCCCGCCAAACAAACCGCTTCTGCTACCGCCATCGAGAGCGAGCCGTGGGCCCGGCCACTGGCTGAGAGATTCGTCGAGGGCACAGCTGATGCCGTGGAGAGCATACCCATCGAGTTGCCGCCAGACGTGGAGGTGCCCAGTTTTGTGCACAGTCAGACATGTGGGCACAACCAGGGCCGTGTTTAACTACTCCTGGTATTGATTGCAGTCCCGCTGTGGCTGCGGTGTCCTTGCCCGTGGCTGTTGTAGTGCGTCTGGCAGTGGTGAGGGTGGTGCGAGCTGCTAGTGGCACCTGATGCACCACTGGTGGCCAAAGCTGTTCCGGCCGCCACTCCGCCGGGCTGCTGCAACCGAAATTCGGCCGTGGTACCAGCCGCTTCATGGATGGCCTCAAAGCTGGCCTTCAGACTGGCCGTTATGCGTCCCTGCTGCATCAGTTGTGTGGTCACTATTGCTGCGCAAATGGCACTGGGAGCGGAGACTGCTCCGCCAAGCTGATGCAGGTTGTATGTGTCTGTGGCACACGCCCACGGCCACGGTGACGCGTGGTGGCCGCCTGGGTTTGCGCGGTTGTGAGGCTAGCGGCGGCAGTTGTTTATCCTGGTGCAACAACGGGAAGTGAGTGGTTGAAATTGGCGCACTGTTCGGATGGTCTCGCGTTGCTTTTCAGCTTCCGGTGTCGCTGGCTGGCACAGATTTGGGCAGCCAATATACCGAGCCTGTACCGGCGCCAGAGCCCGCAACGTGGCCCGCGAAGCTGTTGGCCAAGGTGTCGGTCAAGTTAGCCTCGCTACTAGTTCTCCTTGTTCATAATCAGCAGCAGAGCAGTGGCTGCGGTGGTTCAGCTCCGGGAAGCCATCTTGAAGTACTCACCGCGCAGGCTGTGGAACTCCGTGTCCGTGGACTCGTTCTGCAGCTCGTCGCGCTTGCACTGCTTGAGAAGAGGTGCGCCTTCTTGTCCAGCGAGTACATGTTATCTGTGGATAGAGTGGATGAGGGATTAGACGGTGCAACCTGATGTTGTTTGGGGAGACTCACTTTGCACTGCAAGATCGAGCTCGCGCATCTCTGTGAAGAGCTCCCGCAACTCCTGGGGGCTCGAACATCTCCAGGTGGAGCATGTTCGGTGTTGCTGCTAGGTCCAAGAAAGCAGGCAGCATCAATTTACGAACTATTTTTGCAAGATGATTTTCACTCAATTAGCGGCAGTGTGCCTGCAAAGTTTTACCTTCAAAACGCCGAATTTTCAGTATTTATCGTAAAAGAATCTATCACGATCTAAAAAATATCGATAGTTTAGAGCTGCCAGACTGTTAAAGTTTTACGATTTTTACATTTACCTAAACTGGTCGCACTTACAAAGTTATCGATAGTTCAGTGCTTGAAACCTTCGAAGTATTGCGTTTTCCAGCACTGCTGAAATTTGAGAACAATTAAATCAAGCGTTTCATTTAAGATAGAGTTGTAAATACGATCAGAAAAAATTTATGTTATAAACGATGTTATTTGGTTTGTTAAATTTTATAGTTTAATTCACTTATTACCTGGCAATACACGTTGCCCGGTCTTGGGGTTGGGATTTGTGGCCCGCCAAACAAACCGCTTCTGCTACCGCCATAGAGAGCGAGCCTCTGGCCAGGCCACCAGCTGAGAGATTCGTCGAGGGCACAGCTGATGCCGTGGAGAGCATACCCATCGAATCCACGCTCATCGCTGAGGTCGACGAGGAGACGGAGTTGCCGCCAGACGTGGAGGTGCCCAGTTTTGTGCAGTCAAACATGTGGGCACAACCAGGGCCGTGTTTAACTTCTTCTGGCGGTGATTACTGCCGACTGCACCGACTACACCGCTGGTGGCCAAAGCTGTTCCGGCCGCCACTTCGCCAGGCTGCTATAAGCCATTATGGCCTGCAACCAGAATTCGGCCGTGGTACTAGCCTCTTCATGGATGGCCTCATAGCTGGCCTTCAGACTGACCGTTATGCGTCCTTGCTGCATCTCTTGGGTGGTCACTATCGCTTTGCTGGCTGCTTTGGCAATGGCACTGGAAGCGGAGACTCCTCCGCCACGCTGCTGCAGGTTGTATGTGGCCGTGGCACAGTAACGCCAACACTCACGGCCACGGGCATGGCGAGATGCGTAATGGCTCTGCTGCCGACCTGATTGGCCGCCTGGGCTTGCGCGGTTGTGACGTTAGAGGCGGACGCAGTGGTTGATCCTGGTGAGACAACGGAGAGTGAGTAGGTTAAATTGGCGCACTGTTCGGATAGTCTCGCGTTGCTTTCCAGCTTCCGGTGTCGCTGGCTGGCACAGATAAGGGCAGCCAATATGCTACCGAGCCTGTACCGGCGCCAGAGGCCGCAAAGCGAAGCTGTTGGCCAAGGTGTCGGTCAAGTTAGCCCCGCTACTAGTTCTCCTTGTTCATAATCAGCAGCAGAGCAGTGGCTGCGGTGGTTCAGCTCCGGGAAGCCATCTTGAAGTACTCACCGCGCAGGCTGTGGAACTGCGTGTCCATGGACTCGTTCTACAGCTTGTCGTGCTTGCATTGATTGAAAAAGAGGTGCGCCTTCTTGTCCAGCGAGTGTTGTCTGAGGATGAGGGATTAGACGCTGCAACCTAATGCTGTTTGGGGAGACTCACTTTGCACTGCAAGATCGAGATCGCGCATCTCTGTGCTCAATCATCTCCAGGTAGAGCATGTTTGATTTGTTGATGCTGGGCCTAAAATAAAAGCGGCAGCGATTTAATGGTACTGATTGCAAGATGATTTTCACTAAATTAACGGCAGTCTGCCTGCAAAGTCTTACCTTAAAAATGCCGAAAATTTAGTATTTACCTTAATAGAAGTTGGTCCATTTGAAATTCTGACGATGCGTAAGAGGTATCGATAGTTCGGGTCTGCCAGACTCTTGAATATTTAAGATTTTTACATTGACATTAGCTGGTCACTCTTATGCAGCTCACGATGTATGAAGTTATCGATAGTTTAGTTCTATCAGACTTTTAAAGTTATGGGGTTTTCCAGCACTTATTTAATTGGGTGTTACATTTAAATTTTAAATGCAAAATCGATAAAATTTAAGTTTATATAGGGTAAATCTCACCTCATTTTTTGATTGTTCAACTTTATCATTTAATTCACTTATTGCCTGGCAAATACACTTTGCCCGTTCTTGGGTCTAGGATTTGTGGATTCCATGGACACGCATCATCGTCCCACATATCCGGGAGCCGGACCACACGTCATATACTACAATTGATACATAAATGTAAAAAGCTTAGCTTAAACTTAACGAAAGTGCTTAGAGTTTGGAGTCGGTCCATACGGCTAGATTAACTTATTTGAATGCGAGGGCTGCGCGGGGAATGATCCAAACGAGGTCTGAACGCACCGAAGCGCAACAGAAACAAGTCAAGCTGCTAAATGCATCCAGTTATTAGCCAGATAGCCAGCGGAAGCGGCCGCCCCCAGCTATGGTTGCCTGCCTGCCGCCTGCGGCTATCTTTTGGTGTCGACATCTCCCTTTCTCCAACGCTCCGATTGCGCTGCGCTCTGGAACGGGTACAACGGCGGGGCTAGAAGAGGGAGGCGAAAATGAGGGGCCAAGCAGGAGCGGGAAGGGGCCCCACAGCAATACTAAACGTAATCATAATACACAGACATCGTAAAACGCTAATTCCTAGTCACACAGCTACGAACAACACAACACAGTCAATTTCCCTCATCCCAGCATCCCGTCCCGGCTACCTCGAAGACGACGATGATGACTATATAGCCATCTCGGGCATTTTGTTATGCTTGAGGTTGATCTGCACGCTCTGCGAGAACATCTTGATGATGCCATAGTTCTCATTAGCGTACACCTTCAAGAAACTGGGCACATTCTTATGCAGCAGCTCGTGGCAGAACTGTGGATACCGTCGATACGCCGGCTGCTTGTCATCCCAAATTGCCAGCAGGTCACAGTCGTCGCTGCAAAGCAAAGAGAGATATGATATTTCTTTCAAGTGGCTCGATTTCTGCGTCGTCACTCACCGCACTTCGTTGGTGCACTCGTCCAGCGATATGATCAAGTACTGGATCTTTAGTTGGGCGCACTGATTGTAGATGTCAGACGACTGCTGGCGACTGTACACCGAGTATACGTGCTCCGTGCGGTCCCTGCAAGAGCGCAAGATTGCAAATGGTTAGCGAAATGGAGGGAGACGGGGAGAGTGGCTGAGCCCATGAGTCATCTCCCTCTAATTGGTGGCTATGTAGATTGGGGTGGGGTCAGGACTCTACTACTCACGCCATCTGACGCATCTCCAGGTGCGCATGGTTAACAATGGGCCGCTTAGTGGTCAGGTGCACGGTGCCAATAATCTCAACGGGACCCGCAAAGACGGCATCTCGCTCTGTGTTCAGCTTGATCCACTCGAGCATGCTGTCCAGGTCGTCGGCATTGTACCGCGTCGGCAGATACTCCTCGCGAATATTCTGTGGAGCAGTAGCAGGAGGATAAGCATTTAATTTGAGGACATAGGCCAAGGGCAACTTACCACCATGCCCGGATCGAACATGCTTAGCAGGAAGACGGCCAGGGAGACCGACCAGAAGATGTTGCGTTGCCGGTGGTACCACACCTTGGAGCACACTGTGGGCGCGATGACGCAGCCCTGAGTAAAGCTGAGGAAGAAGAGCTTGCGAACGGCCAGTCCGATGACGGTAAAGACGAGCATTTGCAGGAAGCTGTACATACAGTGCAGGTTGAAGATCTGGGCACTAACCGTGGGCACCACTGAGCTGCGCCTAGAGCCAGTCCGCTTCTGACGACGCTGGCTACTAGAGCGCGTTGAGCCCGATGTGGATGTGTTGGCGGAGGTGGGCTCCCCTTCCTCTTCTTGTGGGGACTTGGACGGCAGAGTTTCAGAAGCATCTGTAGGGGACTCGGCATCGGCTTCAGCTTCCGGTTCAGCTTTTCGGTTGCGGTCGGGGTTCGCTTCTAAGCTGATTGGGTCCTCCTCCGGTTCCACTTCCTTAAGCTTTTCGTTACCGAGCAGCGGGACACCGGTACTACATTCGCCGGGTGCCTCTTTGGTTTCCTGGGCGCGCTCCTTCCGTTGCTTGTCGCTGTTGCGATGGATCTGCGCCCGCAGTCGTTGAATGTCCTGCATGAAGTCGTCGCGGGCAGGTGGCTGCTCCTGGCGCAGGCGGGCCTGAGCGCGTTTGTAGCGCTCGTAGTCGTAATCGCAGCTCTTCAGCAGGCGGAAGCACTGTTGCAACTGGAGCTCTGTCTGCCGGGTGGACATGTCACCCATGGATACGCGGTGCTCCTCCAGAAAGTCCTCAAGCACATAATTGCGGGCGCGTTGGCGCTGCTCCTCGCTGACGGAGCTGGCTGCGGCGCCGCTCTTTCGCCAGCGCCGGAAGAACATGGCCAACATGACAACGCCGTACATGCAGTACGGTTTCACGATCAGCGTCTTTACCAGCTGCCACAGCTCTGACCAGGCGATGCGCGCGTACAGCGGGTTGCAGGCGGAGAGGTTAGCCACAAATCCAACCTTTACCTGGAGCGCCCAGTGGGCCCAGAGGTCGCAGTAGTGCGTGTGCAGCTCCAGCAGCTTGCCCTGCATGCTGCTCGCAAAGAGCAGCGCCAGCAGAATGAACTTCAGGGAAAAGTAGTCGCCCTGCAGCGGATCTTGCGTGTGTCCAAGCCGCCGGCTGCGCACCTGGCGCACCTGACGCACTACCGTGATGAGGAAGACGGACAGCGAGACGCTCAGCTGCCAGGTGCAAAGCAGCTGACTGTTGCCGTGCGACATCACAAAGGCCAGCGCGTGGCCGACAAGGTGCGACAGGGAGTAGTCCAAAGCGAAGGCGTTGGCCACGCCCGTGGGCAAGGCACTAACATTCCAGGACGTCATCACGATCAGGATTTGTGTGGTGAAGATGAAGGTGGAGAACTGCCAGGAGAGTAGGGCGCAGGCGGTGAACAGTGACATAGCGAATATCTGTGAAGGCGGCGGCAGAAGCATTAGTACACTGCAGTCCAATGTGGAAAAGCGGGTGGTCTCACCATAAACAGACGCGAAGTGTGCCGCTGTCGATGAATGATGCGTCCGATGCAGATGCAGAGATAGAACATCTGCAAGAAGATAAAGGGAAAGGCGAAGTTCTCCCTCGCCAGCGGTCTCTCGTATATCTTCGCAACGAAGCTGTGAAACATCACATACGAGATCACGCCATATATGCCACCGAAAACGTTTTCGCTGAGCAGTGTCCCGTAGAGATACAGCACCAGCAGGGTCACCCCGCCCATGAGCCACACGAACTCGAGGTAGAACTGCATCGGCTGGACCAGCGGATTAAAGCCGGCGCGGACCACATGATAAAAGTACCTGTGGAGGGAACAATACCATTAGCCTGCTCCTGCTCCCCCTCCTGGACACACTTACGCCGTGACCAGCTCTGGCAGCACGTAAAAGCGCTGGAGCACATTGACGCTGTGCGGATACTCGATGTCCGTGACGTTCTTCAGTTGCTCATAGCCGTGCCAGAAGTCCGGACCGTCGGCCAGCCGCTTGTAGAAGGCATAGTACAACGCGTCCTCCCGTCGGAGCAACGCCTCGCGCTCCAACTGGTTCAGCTGTTGGATGTTGGTGCGCGTCTCGAAGATCACGCGCACATGCTGCACGTACAGGAAGAAGAAGCCGGAGCCTGTGGGGGCACCGATGATTAATCATGCTGCCCGGAAGGGAGGCAGAGCTGGCGCCCACCGGCCGGGGCACTTACCGATTAGCGCATGCGACAGGATCACATATAGATTGGGCTCGCGCATCGTGCAGCTGGTCGTCTCACTGGGTGACTGTGGGCAGCGTAGCAACCATTATTTATTTCACAAGTATTGTTTCGTTTCTTCTTTTCCACTCCTTTCGCAGCGGCGGCACAGAGGGCGCAAGAAAACAGAGACACCGATCAGCTGTGCGCTCGGACCCGAGCCCAGGCGGTGTGGCCAGAGGGCGTTAATGGCGAAATACCCTTATGTTTTGCATCTGGTCACACTCGCTTAACAACGTTCATGCGCTTCAAAAGTTTTAAATTGCCCAGTATTAATAGTATTTTATGTACCAAAAACAGAAGACCATGATCTAAAAAGTATCTTCTTATGAAATTTAGCAAAACTGACCCCGTTTCTTGCCCATCTGGCAACTTTGACGTTTTGACTGCACAAATACGGTGTTAATTATGAATTCGCCTGCGCTAGAGTTCGTTAATTTCAACGCATAAACTTAGTAGGTGTCGCTTGTTTTTCACGCTTTTCACTAGTAGTCCGCTTTCGAAGGGAAAATCGCGTAAATACACATATAACCGACATGAACCGCTACGCGGTAAGCTCGCTGGTGGGCCAGGGCTCTTTCGGCTGCGTTTACAAGGCGCAGCGCAAGGAGGACAGCAAGGTGGTGGCCATCAAAGTGATCTCCAAGGTGAGTGGATGCCCAGATACAGATGCAACAAGTATACAGGAACATGTCCTATTGCAGCGCGGTCGGTCCACGCGGGAGCTGAAGAACCTGCGACGCGAGTGCGACATCCAGGCCCGGCTGAAGCATCCGCATGTGATCGAAATGATAGAGTCCTTTGAGTCAAAGACCGACCTCTTTGTGGTCACCGAATTCGCCCTGATGGACTTGCACAGGTATCTGTCATACAATGGCGCCATGGGGGAGGAGCCGGCACGCAGGGTAACCGGGCATCTGGTGTCGGCGCTCTACTACCTGCACTCCAACCGCATCCTGCATCGCGACCTTAAACCACAGAACGTGCTGCTGGACAAAAACATGCACGCCAAGCTCTGTGACTTCGGGCTGGCGCGGAACATGACCATGGGCACCCATGTCCTTACCTCGATCAAGGGGACTCCGCTGTACATGGCCCCGGAGCTGCTGGCGGAGCAGCCGTACGACCATCACGCGGACATGTGGTCCTTGGGCTGTATTGCCTACGAGAGCATGGCCGGACAGCCGCCGTTCTGCGCCAGCTCCATCCTGCACCTGGTCAAGATGATCAAGCACGAGGACGTCAAGTGGCCGAGCACGCTGACCAGCGAGTGTCGCTCCTTTCTGCAGGGCCTGCTGGAGAAGGACCCTGGCATGCGCATCTCGTGGACTCAACTGCTGTGCCACCCGTTCGTCGAGGGCCGTATCTTTATTGCAGAGACGCAGGCAGAGGCGGCCAAGGAGTCGCCCTTCACCAATCCAGAGGTGCCTCTAGACAAGCCCTCATCGAATCAGGATGCTGGCGATCTGGACGAGGCACTGGCCGCTCTGAACTTTGGCGAGGCGCCGCCGGAAACCCTAAGTACGTCGCGAGATAGCATCAATGCCATTGCGCCCAGCGATGTGGAGCATTTGGAGACGGATGTAGAAGACAATATGCATCGTGTAATCGTTCCCTTTGCGGATGTCTCGCTCAGAGATCTATCCGTGGTGCGGGGGACGCCACCAGTGGTGGTCCACCAGCCGCTGCTCAATTCACACACCTGCTACGTCAGCGGCAACTCGAACATGATCCTGAATCACATGAACGACAACTTTGACTTCCATGCCTCCCTGCGCGGCTCGGCGGCGCAACCGAAGATCGTTCCAGCTGTGCGACAGTCACGCAGCAAGGATCTAGAGAAGCGCAAGCTCAGCCAGAACCTGGACAACTTCTCGTTGCGCCTCGGGCACAACAACGCTGCAGAGGCTTCCACTCAGGAGAAACCCGCGCAGGAGAAGCTGTCACAGGAGAAGCTAACACAGGAAAAGAGTCAGGCACAGCCACAGCAACAGTCCCAAGCACTTCCCCAGCAACAGCCACTGAAACATTCGATGCATTCCACCAACGAGGAGAAGCTAAGCAGCGAGTAAGTGGCCTTTATGCAATAGAATATCATGGGTTTACCTAACCCTTCTTCCTTTTATCCGTAAAAGCAATACACCGCCTTGCCTGCTGCCAGGCTGGGACAGTTGCGACGAGTCCCAGAGTCCGCCCATTGAGAACGATGAATGGCTGGCGTTCTTGAACCGCTCCATTCAGGAGCTTTTGGATGGAGAGCTTGACTCGCTTAAGCAGCACAATCTAGTGAGCATTATCGTGGCCCCGCTGCGCAACTCCAAAGCCATTCCCAGGGTGCTCAAGAGCGTGGCGCAACTGCTGTCACTGCCCTTTGTGCTCGTGGATCCAGTGCTGCTAGTGGACCTCGAGCTGATCCGCAACGTGTACGTAGACGTCAAGCTGGTACCCAATCTTATGTACGCCTGCAAGCTGCTGCTGTCGCACAGACAGCTTTCGGACTCTGCTGCCTCCGCACCGCTGACGGCGGGCTCGCTCAACCGGACGCTGCGCAGCATTCCGGAGCTGACAATCGAGGAGCTGGAGACTGCATGCAGCCTGTATGAGCTGGTTTGCCACCTGGTGCACCAGCAGCAGCAGTTCCTCAATCAGTTCTGCGATGCCGTGGCCATCCTCTCAGCGAACGATCTCTTCCTGAACTTCCTCACACACGGTATGATGTGGTATGATGATGGTATTCAGTTCTAATCTCAACTCTCTCTCTCTCTCTGCAGACTTTCGGCATTCTGACTCTGACTCGGCGTCCGTTCGTCTCGCCGGTTGCATGCTAGCTCTGATGGGCTGTGTGCTGCGCGAACTGCCAGAAAACGCCGAGCTGGTGGAGCGGATTGTCTTCCATCCGCGACTGCATTTCGCCGAACTCCTGCAGAGCCGCCATCACTTGTTGCGCCAGCGCTCCTGCCAACTCCTGCGACTGCTTGCGCGCTTTAGCCTGCGCGGGGTGCAGCGCATCTGGAACGTTGAGCTACGGTTTGCACTGCAACAGCTCGCCGACAACCACTCCTATCCGGCCCTTCGCGGAGAGGCGGCCCACACCCTCGACGAGATCAGTCACTTTACATTTTTCGTTACCTAGCCGGCACTGTCGTTTATTGGCGTCAGGCGTTCCTATCCGAACAGATCCTGAATGTTGCCCTGGAAGTAGTCGATCAGCTCGTCTATATAGTTCCCGAAGCGGTCAAAATTGAGCAGGTAGCCGCTCTCGTTGCAGTCCTGTTCATACATCTCGTTCAGCTTGGACACATCTTTGTCGGAGAGGCCGCGTCGCTGGCCCAGTGAGGCGTACGGATCCTAAGGCGGCGGAGAAGAATCAGTATAATTATTTAATACTCGCTAAAGGAATCCCCTTGCATATATTATATACAGGTTAGTCATAAGTCCTATGTGAAGTTATTGAGAGTGTTTAAATCTCGTTGCTTCCGTTAAGATAGATAGCTTAATACGCACATTAATCTAGTCTTTAAGAACTGTAACTGAATAAGGAAATACTCAGCTTGGCCTCGGGTGGATGGCTTTATCAAACTTGTATCGCTCAAAACTGACAAGCCGCCTATCCTAGTTTAAGTGTTCAAAGATATTACTGACGCATCATACTGTTCCTCGCCAGAATATAAAGGTTACGGACATCGCTGTTGATACACACATGCTCCTGCCCTTAGAATAGATAGCTTTATCGCCCTTCCTTCCGTATGTATATAGACATTGAAATACTATTGTTAAAGATAATTATTTGACGAACAAGAGGAATATCGGTTTTTGTATTCCATATATGATAATGTTATTATATGCTTGTTAATATGAATGTTTGTGAGTACGTGAAGGATGTCCACATAAATTGGTATCAAGTATCTAATTGAATTAAATGTTCCAACGACTATGTCACACAATTAACAATGTTCTCCATTAAAATAGATTTACAATGAGAACCGGAGGACTCACCAGTGGCTCAATGGTGGCCTTTCCATTCTTGCTGAACGCCCGGGAGCTGTAGTGCATGACACTCTGGTAGTCATACTCCACACCAAAGTTCGTGATATGCGTCCGGGCGTACTTGTTGAAGTTGTGCGCGTGTCCGTCGAGAATGTTCTCCCAGTTGATCTTCACGTACTCGTCGCGCTCCGTGGCGCTCTGCTGGTGATAGAAACCCAGCGCGTGCAGCAGCTCGTGCACCACTACGCCATGGGTGACGCACTTGGGCGTGTTCAGGTTCAGCACCTGGCCACCCTGCCGCCTCCCGACGCTGGACCAGCAGCCCGAGTAGTTGCCCTTGATCAGCAGCCAGTGCTTGTCACCCTGCTCATACGGCCGGAAGCGAATGCAGGTGCGATCGTGGTACTCCTTGAAGGCCTTCAGTATCACCATGGTCTGGTTGACGGCTACGAGGCAGGATGTGGTTCAAGAGACAGTCTTATGTGGCTGATCTACTCACTAAAGTCCTGTGGATCTATGTAAAAGGGTACGGCTGCCTCTGGCCAGGTGAGCCGCTCGTTGAGCAGACCGTTCCTTAGCAGCTCGCGGTGCAGCATGATGTCGCCCTCGAAGAGGCCGCAGTGCTCCCAGATGTTCGTCTCGCTATCCTCCGTCCAGAAGTTGAAGGCGGGACCTGCAACGGGCAGCGGGATTACCATTTGCCCTTCGGAGACTCCACCCGGTCGCACCTACTGTTGTGCCTGCGCAGCATCTGCATGTTGGCGCCCCATCTGGGACTGGGTGGCACCCGTGGCATTGCTTTTCTTACGTCCGGCGTCGGATTTCCTCTAACCATAGCTGTTGGAGTTTCCGTTTCCGCTTTTGTTTTAGTTCCTATTCCCGTTCCGAGAGTGGCGCCCATGGCCATGGGCACCATCAGTGCCAGAAACAGACCGGGAACGATGAGTGCGCTCCTCAGCATTGTTGGGGTAAAAGAAACGCCGGCTGGGCCGCGTCGCTGCTTTTATATGGCCCCGCGTACGGGCGGGGCAATGACAATTCCCCATTCCCATGCCCATTACCATTCCCATTTCAATTGAAAGTACGAGTGAGTACTGAGTGCTGAGCGATCGGAGCGAACTCAACGCCCACGCCGACGGATTTATGCATAACATAACGGATTTATTGGCTCTCTCTTTCGGTGCGCATTCGAATTCCCCCGCCATGGCTCCACAGCTTTTACGGGCTTTGGTTTCAAATTTAACTGGGATACTGGGTTATCAGTGGCAACGGTGTGCGCATATGAAAATGGCACAGTCACCCGGCCGGCCACTGGGCAGTCTCCTTCGTCCACGTGACCACGTGGGTCACGTCCAAACAGAACAAAATATTGTTTGCCTGGAATGAGGTTCGAACCCCATTTCGATAATATATCCAAATTGTATTTACAATTTCTATTGCATTTTAAATACATATGTGTTCAATACTATGATATTGAAATTATTATTTAGACTGGCAGTGAGCATTCTAGTATTTATACAGCTGGTAACCATCACTGAACGAGTTGATTTAGACATGTAGCTAGCCTCAAAGATCATGTATCTTAAAGGCTATAAGAGGTAGAGCTTTTGTATTTCAAAACTACTCCTATACCTCCCTTAAAGTTAATTAAGTAATTGGTATTGAACCAAAATTTTTTTTTAAAATTATATAATAATAAAAATAAAGGTGGCTTTTGGAAACCAAACCTTTTATGTCCTTGTAATTAAATCACTGTTTGAAAATCTATCATAACTAAGCCAAAGGTCGATTCGGCTGTCGATGCTGATCAAGAATATATATGATTTATAGGGTCGGAAATGACTCCTTCACTGTGTGGCAAGCTTCTAACTAACATCCTAATACCCTGCAAGGGTATAATAAATAAATCCTTGGGAGCGCGTTTTTCTCATTCCTAACTAAAATTGGTTGATAAAAATAGTAGTTATTGGACAAAATTAATGCTGTGTGCTTAGCCATTGCAACATTAATGTCTTGTCAGCAACAATGTATGTCTTTCAACTTGTCCCCAGCAACATATGACTAGCAACATATGCCTAGCAACATATTTCCCTTGCATTTTTGATGCATTTTCCATTTGTTTAATACAGATTGCTTAAAGTTAATGGCTCAAGCATTGCTCACTTTATGTGTTGTGCGGAGTCGAGCGATGGTCAGTTTTTTGAACCCGCAACAAACCCCATCAATTGATGTATGGCATCTGGCATCTGTCAGATGCAGTGACAGTGGCAAAAGTGAGATGTCTTCTCCCTTTCTCTGACCCAGACCCGGATGGGTCTGCCAGTTGCCCGTTGCCCGTAGAGTGGGTCAACGCGGCCGAAAGTGGGTCGCCACCAGGAAGCCATGGCACCCACAAGATTGGCAGAACACGATTTTGCTAACCCACTAACCGGAGGAGGGCTTGGTGCTGCTTTTGTGAAGCCAGGAATGCCATAGCAGCCTCTGCCTCTGCGATTTATTCGCCGTCCCACAACTATTCGGCTAATCTGCAATCTGCAATCTGCAATCTCGACAATCTAGATCCATCCAGAAGACTCCAAAGAGGCTGCGAGAGGCTGACTTGCGCACCAAAAACTCACCAATTACCGACGTTGCATTTATTTCTAACTAGTTGCCGCTCTCGCTGGCTGTTGCTGCTGCTGCTGCTGCTGCTGCACTTTCACTACGAAATTGCACCAAAATCTAAGCCGCATTGCAATGATTTTGAGAACATTTTGGTCATGGCAACTGGTAATGCCCGGCCCGGCCTGGCCAGCGGATGCAGCAGTCACTCCGTTGCAGCTCCGGGCTGCAGCCAGCCAACTTGAAAAACACATTTGACGTACTATCTGAGATGTACTTGATCTTTGTCGAAAACTTGACACACTTTTTTCGGTCAACGGCTGGCAAATGGCAACGACTTCCAGCCCCGGAGAGTGTGTGTAGCTGCTCCAGCGGAGCGCGGCGGCGGAAAATTCGAGGGAAATCGCTGGCAGTCGCGTCATCAGCATCTCAGCAGCAGCAGCAGCAGCATCAGCATCGTTCAAATGCAATTTTCAATTGAGAAAGTTAAGCGGCAGAGATTGTAAATTCGAGACAAGCGGGCCCGGGCCCACATCCACATCCACCGAGAGCTATGTGGTTAGATGCCTCTTCCTCCCGGCGGTAATTGACTTCCTGCAAGGCGCCGAGAACGTTGCAACTCATTAATGCACACAAAAAAAAAGAAGAAAAGAGTTGAGCTAAGATATGATCTATTATTAGTATAGTTTGTAAAATTATGCCAAGAAAAGGGGGCAAAATATTGGTTACCAATATGTTTATAATTAATATAAAGAATACTTTTCTTTAAATCCAGAGAATATATGCAATATTGTGCTGTGTAGCAATGCCACTCTGTGGCTGTGTTGTTGGCCAAACTCTTGAGAGGCACGGCGATTGGACGTTGGAGGACCTGCATCTGCATCAGCATCTGCATCAGCATCAGCATCAGCATCAGCGGGTTCTGGCAGTCTGGCCTCTTCTCTTGCTTTTTTCACTTTTGGCGCGCGCGACAGTCACTTTCTGCGCCAGTGGCCCAGAAACCGGCATTGTTTACGGAGCCATCGACTCTAGAGGCATATGTATATGCAAACTGGAGAGCTGGGAGCACCAGCAGCAGGAGAAGGAGAAAGAGGAGATGGAAATGGAGATGGAGATGGAGATGGAGGAGCACTAATGTTCGATACGATGGCTCAGATTTCTCCACTTCCTTTTGGCCGCTGCTGCTGACACAAAACTGTCATCAACATATCAGCGCCGCTTGGGGAATGTCAAGTGGCGGCGCAGAACAATGGGGCATGGAGTTTGGAGTTTGGAGCTTGAAACTTGGAGTAAGTAAGCAACACTGGAGGACGAGGCACTGGGATTTCACCCATCAGAAAAGCAGCTTTCCCACCAGCTTCCCCGGTTACGGCACCCAAAGAAAAAACAAAAAAAAACGAGCAAATCTCAGGCTCTGGCGCGTGCGTAAAAAAATGAAATCAAATCCAATGGCGGCAAACAAACCAAACCAAAACAAACTCCACATGAAACCCAGAGCCAAACGCAGGCCTCCAAACCAGTTGCGGCAGTTTCCTTCCGGAATCAATTATTTTTCACTTTGCTGATTTTTCACGTTCATGGTCACAAATCTGCAGCAACTGCAACAGCAACAGCAGCAGCAGCATGCAACAGTGCCCAGTTCGGCAGTGTGTCAGTAGTGGCAACCACTCTGCGTCACGATTGACTGCCTTGCTTTGTATTTTGCTTGTTTTTTGTTGTTTTGATTTGTTTTGTTTCGTGTTTTCCATTTTGGCTCTTTGCACATTTTCGTGCCGCTTTTCGTGCGCTTTTCCGAGGAGATAATGCAGCCGCATTTCGTTATTGTTAACGCTTCCCATTTTTTGCGTTTGCGACATTTGGTCGAGTGACTGACGGGGAGACAGTGAGACCACCGACCGGTAGAGCTGCAACGACAACGATCCGGTAGACTTTTCCAAGAAATTTCTACCCGTCAATTCAACATTAGTTTAATTGGTGAAATTGCTTTGGATTTTTGTTTTGTTTTTGTTTATTTGTGGCTCTATTTTGGGTGGCTTTTCGGTTCGGCGAAAGTATCTGGTGTCCATATGAGGTCATACCGAGGAGGAGCCTGTTACAGTCACAGATAGTGGCTTCCAGAAGGGTGTCAAGGTGAAGCGATCTGTGCCCCAAAACGAAAGACTTAGGCAACGAACTTGCAGCGAAAATGCCGCCTGTCGCCTGCTGCCTGCTGCAGAGCGAAAGTTATCTAGCAAATTGATTGATTACCAACTTTCTACGGCCAGAGAAATTATAATAAGTGCAATTTGCAATGATTCTGAGACAGGAGAGGAGGCTGTGCGAGCGAAAGCAGAACATATTTTTTTACATGGCTGCAAGGAGATCGAGTTAATTGACTCTGTGACTTGTGCACATGAAAAATCAAGATCTACGATCTGTTTTCAGTTACTTCAAATAAAATTAGAGCTAAGTTTTAATCTTACAACATTTTTTAAAGCTCTACAAAACGTCAAAAATAATATGAAACAATATTAACATTCACTTAAAGTTTAATAAAATTGAAAGGGTAATATTTTGTCTAGGTAGTTCCCTCTTTTCCCTCTTTTAAAACCAACAATTTGCTCTAATTTTCGAGTGCAGCCTTCTCTGGGGGTTTTCCTCGACATTTTCCTGGCATTTTCCCCCATAGCGCTGTGGCATTGAAATCTTACCTAACCCAACTAAAGGCCATGGCTTGTGCCACTTTCGGGGCATCGCGCATACGCCACCGATCCTCGCCGCCAAGCAACAGCTGATGGCCTGCACTTCGGCAAGTGCCTCGGGTTTGCCTCGGTTTCGTCTCGGCCTCGGCTTGAGTTCGTCTCTGTGTTTCAGTGTTGCCAGGTGATGAGCTCCCATATAAGCTAGATTTAAAAAAAAAATAAGCTAGAATAAGCTAAACAATTTTTAAAAAATGCGAAAAAACAAGCTACACCCAAATATGAGAAAACACGAAACATATAATATATATTATTATATTATATGAATATGTTATTATTAAAGAAAGTCTTAAAAATATGTTTTTAAAGTAAGCACTTAAAACAAATTAGTTAATATTTCATCAATTCCTTCATGTTGTTCGTCGCCGAGTGTTCAGCAATGAACAAACAAAGCGCTGCTTCCTGATCCTGAGTCTTGCAACACTTAGCCGGAAAATTTATTTTTTGCGATTCAGCAACTGATCTCATTGATAAAATGTGCTTTTTCGATGCCGCATGCTGCCTGATTTCAAAAATTTTGGCTGATATTGTCGACTTACAGTAGCAACAATATGCTTTGGTTCCTTCTCCTGGCACTTAAATTCGTTGTTTTGGAGCCAAGCATCCCGAAAAATCTGTTTAT